CACTTTGGTAACGAAGCAATATTAGAAATATGTAATTAATTGTAACTGTTTTACCAGATGCCACTCCCAAGTAAAAAAAAACTGCTCGCCATGGACTGCATGTTAATTTTGACCCTACAGCAAGAGCAGAGTCGCTAAAAGAAGCAAAAAATATTGCGTCTTAAAGAAAATTTTAAATAAAAAGGCAACATGTTGCTCTTGTTTCTTAGGAGGAAATGCATTTTTTTTGTAAACATGTGGGTGTAGACCAGTGGTTCTCAACCTTTTGTGGGCCAGCGCCCCCCTATCCATTATCCAGGAATCACATTATCCATTATACATGGAAAAGGTAACAAAAAAACAAGTGAAAAGTAATTATATTTAACTAATAAGTGAATATTCCTCCCAATAACTGTGTGTGAAGCCAGATACTGTTTTCTTGGATGGGGCACTTAATAAGTGGGGGGTATGGGGTCCTCCCCCAGAAGATTTTGAGCATTAAACCCTTAATTTCCTGCATTCTGGTGAAAATTTCTCTTCCAATTTCTGCCTTTTCTGCACCAATTTATGGTGGAAATGTCTAAAAACTCAGGTGGCAGGTGACAATTCAAAATATATCATTATGATAGAATATAATGTAGTGAGGCTCTCAAGCGTTCTCATTGCTTTTAAATATTTTTCTCCTGTAGATTTAATATCATCCCTCCTGAGTCAACACAAATGATTAAGTCTTCCCTCCTCTTTTGTGGGGAAGTAACCTTTTTAAATGTTTGTGGCCCCTTTTCATCTCAGTAATAAATGAATCCGTTTTAATTCAGTTATTGACTGGACTTTATTAGCTCATCTGCTAATAACTCAGTGTTTCCCACAGAATGACAGTGTCGCAGATGCAGCCTGTTAGCCTGGAAAACCCAGCTGTATTCTAACATTAATTTAGCTCTCCTTATTAGCTTGGCTCCTTACATGCTTGCTAATAACTTTTCATAGCTGGGTCTTCAACATTGACAGCGTTGTGTTGGACAGATTTGTGCAGCTGTGTTGAAAACAGACGTCCCCGGTACTCTGGGCAATGTTACTGATTTTTTTCGCCGTTTAAACTCCGAAACGATGTTGTTGCTCCGAGTCCAAGCGGGCGCCATCTTGATTACTGCGCAATACCTGCAAGCTGCCTGCCTGCTGTCGTCTTTTTCTGCAGAGAGGAAACATGCCGCTTGAGAACACACGGTGTTTTTTGCCATTTTGTGGCCGATCCGTTGGAGATATATAGACATGCAGGGTATCAAATGAGAAAGGTCTGCTGTGGGATTGTGTTCTCAATCTACAGGCCTGTAAATCATGGGAGTGCTTTTGGTGACAGGAATGTTGATGAATACTCCTGTTTTATCAATACTTCAATGTTTTGTCGTTTGGAAATAGGTTGTATGGACTGAAAAAGTGTTTTAAAGATATCTATCAATAAAAGTCAGCATTTTAACAATAAATATTGCCAAAATATGGAAATTCGTCTGGTATATTTGAAAATGTTGTATGATAACTGTTGTATTTTAGTTTATTTTCATAAGATTTACAGTTACAATTGCATTCTAGGTATATTAGAAGATATTCAGTTGCATTAAAAGCTTCCTCAGGATGGTTTTGATGGTTTATTGCATTAAAATAAAGCTTTTTCTTTATTGCATCTCCATGTAGTCTGTAAAAGTAAAATAAATATATTAATACACAATGGATTTATATTCCTTAGCTTCTGACTTTTCAAAGGAGACCAGAATTATGCATCTAGGCCAAATGGTTGAGGAGTTATTCCTGATTCATTTTGGGTTTGTAATTTTAGGCGTTTTTTCTGGAAAAAGGGGCCTGTTTTCAACAGGTTAACGAGGGAGAGAGAGAGCGACAGATCAACGAGCGAGAGGATGTGCTGCGCGAATACGCGCTGCCTGCAGCACAAATACGAAAATCAATATGTGCCGTTCAGCACTGATATTGTGGCAGGCCGCCACAAATAAATGAACGTACGGGAAACACTGTAACTTATCTGCTCATGTTCAAACCTTTCTGCACATTCAGAATCTCTCACACATATCTGTGTTCTCTGACATGCAAAGAAAAATGGGAATTCATATTTATTTAACTACATGCCCTATACTGCATTATGTTACTGATTCGCTAAACTGAATGAGACGAGGAGGCGCTCATGCCGAAAAACGAAACTAACCGACAGCACCTGTGATCAGACAGAAAGCTCACGAATAATTCAACACACTTAAACTTCAGCACCTCTGATAAAGTGCCGCTAAAAATCCCCACCAGAGGAAGTCAGGGCTTCAGTTTTTAACGTTACATTTTTAGAGCCTACTGAAACTACAGTATATTTTTTGGCACAAACTGTCTGCGACTCACAGCGCGAGGTGGGTCCACGTCACTCGCTGGTGTCGCAGCGAAGCTGCTTTCAGGGTGAGTCCGACAGCGGAATATCCCTCTTATAAATGTGTAACCACTGCGATAACAAGACGTTCACGGTGTATTCCTCAGAAAAATAAACACTTTTCCAACAAGAAAGAGAGCGTCAGTTTTCCAGAGTTTACACAGTAAACGCCATGTGGATAAAGTCTTAGAGATGATACTCTGACTTCCTGTTCCCATGAAGGCAGCAGGAAGCTGCACCACAAGTAGCTGACGGAGAAAAAATGCAGTCTCGTCCAGTGGCAGTGGACTAAACTGGCAGGCTTTAATGTTGCAGACCACAGTTGTTTGCAAGTAGTTTAAAGTTTAAACTCGTATTGTGAATCTTAAGTGTAAACTCGCCTTAGAATTTCCAACCAACAAAGGCCCCCCAAAAGCAGCTCAGCGCCCCCTATCGTCCTCGGAACGGCCCCTGGGGGGTGGTACCGCCCCCGTTGAGAAACACTAGTGTATACGTCCATCCTCACTTGATTTATTGTGTTGCTTTACGACCCATGTTTACGTTTTTTAACGATCTCTATTGGCCGTGTTGGCTGAGTCAAACCCAGGACTTTCACACAGGAGAACCGCGTTCCATTCCCCTGTGAAATCAAGTAAATGTAGAGTTATTTTCAGTTTGAAGCCAACTTTAGCCCTAACAAAATGTAGCAGAGCATTTATTTCAACAGAAATGGTGGTGCCTTGAACATCCTGTTGCGTACGCCAACCACTGGACTTCACTGTCTTTTAAATGTGGCTGCTGATTGGGTAACACCTCTGACACACCCAATAAATGAGGAAAAACATACCTGCAGTTAATGAAATTAGATTAAATATATTGTCAAGTTATGTTTGTTCAAAACAAAGCCGTGAATGTGTACTGCACTAAAGTAAATGTTTGTAATGACATTTTCATCCAAAAAATTTTATGAAATGTTTGTGTTCATGAAAATTCTTTTAAATTTTAATAATGATATCTGGTGAAATATATTTTTTGTTTAGAAGTTTTTGTTTATTGAGCTCCTTAAATATATATTTTTAATGATATGCAGTGTTCATGTCATTTGGAGCGACCACTCATCATGTGGTGCGACCAATAATAACAATAATTGTATTAAATTAAAAATAAAATATCTCATTCCTGTGACTGAAATATTAATTACTGATACAGTAAGTTTAAGTGAATGGTATTTTTTAAATATTTTTATCAGTTTTATGCAATTTACAGAGAAAAATGATCAATTAACTACATATAAGAAGGGGATTGTGACATTATAGAGCAAAAATATAAGATCATTATTTACAAAAACCCAAAAGAAAATCAAATACATTGTATCTAAAACCTTTATTTAACTGAGAACTTGTAAAAACTGTTAAGCATGTTAAGGAAATTAATTAATTTTAAAATAAATTATGGTCGCACCACATGACATTTTGTAAGGCCACAAACAGTTTATGTAGCTGAAAAAACACTAAAATCATTTAATTTGAAAAAACTACATTCATTTTTGTGTACTCAGCATTCTTAATGTTTGAACAATGCCAATAAATGTACCTGGGTCATCCCGTCTGTCTGTGTGTCCCTCCGGTCAGTGACGTCACTACTCAGAGGGAGGCCCCTTCCTGCAGATCGGTTATAAAGGGCCGTAAGCGTTGCATTAAAGTGCGTTTTTTTACCCACCAAACAGCTTCAGCTTCACCAAAAGGAACGTCAGTGTCACTGAGTTAAATCTCGTTTTGTAGCTTCTCTGTCAGAGTTTGCCTCCTTTTCTTCCTGCAGTCAGGACGTATTAATATTAATGAGCGGCGTTTCACTGACCATTTATAGGCAACTATGGGCATTTGAAGGGTTGGACATGGAGCTCCCTCACATGCCCCACATTTCAAGTTGATTGTGATTTATAAATGGAACTTGCATACAAGTGTGCGTACGCACAAGTCTGAATATCTTTTGGTGGATGCCATTTTTGGCTTTTGGGAGCACGTACACTTTTAGTGAGGTTTCTATGCACAGTTTTATAAATGAGACCCCAGGACTGTAACGGTGAGGCTTTTCCATGCCAACAGTAATTTTAGCTGGGGCATCTTTCAGGTAGTCTAAGTAGCATCCTTTGGGCTTTGCCACTGGTAGATTTACGAGTTATGCTGAGATTGTTTATATTCTTTCTCGGGAAAGTTTAAAAAAAATTAATCTTATGAACCATTAACAACTCATATATAAATGGTTTGTCATTAAAAGAACACACACACAGACTGGCCTGAGATCAGCAGCATGTTATTGATCTGTGTTGACATGAATAGGTGTATGAATGTTGTGCTGACATTTGGATGATGTCTGTAGAAGGCTGACATTATGATGATCCACAATAACACAATGACAAAGTCCCTCTACTCATTTTAGGGAAAAGCTCATTGAATTGATTAGAAATGGATTTTTATCTCCATCATTTATTCTTTATTCAGATTGTGGAGCTGCAGTTTGTCAGAGATCAGCTGTGCTTCTCTGGCCTCAGCTCTGAAGTCCAACCCCTCCCATCTGAGAGAGCTGGAGCTGGGTGACAACAAGCTGCAGGATTCAGGAGTGAAGCTGCTGTGTGGTTTTCTGGAGGATCCACACTGCAGACTGGAGACTCTGAGGTCAGTTATTCAGTTATATATGAGTTGTTAATGGTTCATTAGATCATTTGGAAAGTGTAAGAAAATTATTACATAACAGCATGTTTTTTATTTTTTTAGTTATTTAGAAATGGTCTAATAGGACGTGTTCATAGATGTTTTATGACACTTAATTCTACAATTTATGTTTAATTCTGGTTACTAATGGTTAGTAAGTATTTTGTGTGAGCTCATCTAAAGTGAGGACTGTCTATATCTTACAAAGCATTTACAAATGATATTGTAACACACAAGAATCAGAGGGCCTCAGAGGGAGGCCCCTTCCTGCAGATCGGTTATAAAGGGGCGGAGCTCCGGGGCCCCCTTTGCTCCGGTGCACAGGCTTTGCATTAAAGTGCGTTTTTTACCCACCAAACAGCTTCAGCTTCACCAAAAGGAACGTCAGTGTCATGTGATTTATAAATGGAACTTGCTTACAAGTGTGCCCTACGTACAGTTTTATAAATGAGACCCCAGGACTGAGGCTGTTCCATGCCACCAGTAACGTTAGCTGGGGCATCTTTCAGGTAGTCTTCGGGGGCTTTCACACCTACATCGTTTGGTCCGGACTTTCGGACTGTTCAGTTTGGTACGAACCAAAATTGCAGGTGTGAAACCTCCCCCGGACCACGGTCCGGACCAAACAGACAGAATTTGGTCCGACCAAAAGAGGTAGTCTCGGTCCGGATCAAACTGAATCATGGTTTGGTTCGTTTCTGGTGTGAAAGCATTTTGTGGATGGTTCAGACTTTCAGACTATTTACAGGAAGTTTGGCGGTTGCTGTTTAAACTGGAAACAAGTAAATGCATGGAGAAATGCATTGAAATAAGCACACAAATATAAATCTCCCATGACAGCTCATCTTTAGATACAGACGGCCACAATAGAAGCACACTGCCACCCATCGCTCTGGTCTCTGCTCAAACGGAGGTGCAGATTGTTTGCTGTCTTCTCCTCCTGTCCTGTTGGCGACAATATAATGTTCGCACAACGAGGACGTTTAATTGCGAATTTGAACTAGCCTTCAGTATAGTTGGTGCTGCAGGTAGTAATGCTATAATAATAACAATATAGTGGCAAATATGCATATGTACATTTTTTATTCATTCATTCTAGTCAAAGCTCCCCGCTGAACTGTTTAATAAACCAATCAATGTCAAGTACAGGGAGACGCAGCCAACGTAGACGATGACGACAGGACGCAGGTCTGTCAGGTAAAGTCCTTTAGTGCGGTCGCAGAATTGCAGTGTGAAACCAAACCAAAACTAACCGAATGTATCAAAACATGAACTTTGGTTCGGACCTTGGTGCAGACTTTCAGGTGTGAAGCCCCCTTAGTAGCATCCTTTGGGCTTTGCCACTGGTAGATTTACGAGTTACGCTGAGATTGTTTATATTCTTTCTCGGGAAAGTATAAAAAAAAAATCTATGAACCATTAACAACTCATATATAAATGGTTTGTCAGTAAAATAATACTTCATTTATAAATAGTGAACCGATTATGTATAAAGTATGAAAATACAATTATTAAGCACATTATAGATGAGCTTATTAATAAAGAATACAACATGTATAACTGTTTAGAAATGACTGACTAATGTGTATTAATGTAAGAACAATGGTTTATAAATGATGAATTCCGTATTTACTAATACTTCACTAATGCTTTACAGTGTGTAGTTATTTAAAGTGCTATATTTCTTTGTTTCTGTTGGTTTCAATGTCTTTTCACAAATAATCTCTGATCACTGATATTGATCCTTCAGAACACACACACACACACACACACACACACACACACACACACACACGCACACACTGGCCTGAGATCAGCAGCATGTTATTGGCTGACATTATGATGATCCACAATAACACAATGACAAAGTCCCTCTACTCATTTTAGGGAAAAGCTCATTGAATTGATTAGAAATGGATTTTTATCTCCATCATTTATTCTTTATTCAGATTGTGGAGCTGCAGTTTGTCAGAGATCAGCTGTGCTTCTCTGGCCTCAGCTCTGAAGTCCAACCCCTCCCATCTGAGAGAGCTGGAGCTGGGTGACAACAAGCTGCAGGATTCAGGAGTGAAGCTGCTGTCTGATCTGTGGAGAGTCCACACTGCAGACTGGAGACTCTGAGGTCAGTAGAGGGTTGGAGTCAGTCCATGCTGGTTTCAGCAGTATTGTACTAAACACAGTTAGTATCAAAGCAGAGATCCAGTATTTCCTGTAAACCTCCAACCTTCTCAGCGGCTGCTTACCTCAGTGAAGCTGTGAGAGGAGAATGGTGACAGGCTTCAGGATTGGACAGAAAGACAGAGAGAGAGAACAGCCAGTGATCATGTGTTTGAGTTGATGTGAAGACGACTGTTGTTGTTGTGTTCATGTCTCCAGGAAATAAAGCTGGATTCCAGCTGACAGCATCACAAGATGTATAGAGACAGTGGTCCTCATTCATCAAACTGTCGGACCATCAAATCTGATCTCAAAGTGTTTGTTCTCTCATTTCAACACTAAACTACTGATCAGTCTTTCTACAGAGCAGAACCTCTGCTGAAGTCCAGTAAGCATAGCTAATGTTTAGCTGTTCAGTCTTTGTATGAACATGTAGGACCTTTAACATCATATATATATCTGTCTATGTGTCTTTAGTTTGGTCCAGATGTTTTTAGAACAGTCTCCATATTTACAGATTTGTCCTGTAATATTTCCAAAGTAGCTGAAATATTCAAATGTGACTGAGCGGCTGGTTTTTAACAGCTTTTAACAGCAGTAAATCCATCATTCCAGTGAGCAGTGAATATCTCTCTGTCTCTGCAGTCATGATGCGTTCAGGGACTCTCAGCACTTTATTTCCACTGTGGACTTGAGTGAAACCTGCAGAGTAAACAGAGCTGATGGCCAAAGTCTCTGCAGGTCTCAGTGTGTTCACTCCAATACGTTAACATGAGAGCTGAAAGGAAGCTGGCTACGCTACACAGCCGCTCCACTTCTGGTCTGAACAGGACTGAAGTCCCTGCTGGTCTTTATACTGGATGTGCTGCATCACTGACTGACAGCTGATGAAGGGAGTCTCTGTAAACTGATTATGACTTCTGCTCTCTGTCTTCTTCTCTCATCAGCTGGTGATCTCTGTCAGAGTGTGAGGGGTCAGAAAGGTGGAGGTGTTGAGAGAGGATCAGCTGTGTCCTGATGATCCAGAGAGGTTGAAGCAGCAGCATCAGCTTGTGTGTGGAGAGGCTCTGACTGGGCCATGTTACTGGGAGGTAGAGTGGAGAGAAGAGCTTCATCCAGCAGTGACTGACAGAGGAATCCCAACAAAGGCTGGGATTTTTAATTTTAATAATAAAATTCTGCTGTAACCTACCTATTTACTTTTTTGACATTCAGTTATTACCTGTATCGAAGTTTGGAAAAAATGTAGACCTATGTATCACCACATAGTTGTTGGAAAAGTTGCGAAACATACTTGACTCACTCTGATCTACATGTTGTCATCTTTCACAACGGTGAATAAGATGTTGGTTGAGTCGCGCAGGCAGAGTTTCTTCATAACGGGCGCATGCTCCGCATTTTCCCACGAAGAATGCACTTTGATTATGCATATATTTATATATGATGAAACTACCAAATCTAACACTGTGGCAGCCAGTAAAGCCAGGGAGGCTTGTTGGCAGTGTAGTGAGTAAATTTGCAATTAACTTAACAGTGTTCTTGTTGTAATTTTCTATTGTGTATTTTATGGACTCTTATGTGTAATGTGATTAAAATGTACAAGTTCAAGGTACAACTGCATAATAAGTACATTGTAATAAAATAAAAAATGGAGCCTGGGGAGAGGGGTAATAATAATCTGAGGAAAAACTTTATGAGGAACTAATTATCACAAATCGACAAGTTAAAATTTTAAATAATCTCTGACATTATATATAACATAAAACATTTATGAGAGGAACTATCGCTTCACTTTGTAAGGCTGCAAAATACCACGCATACCTCTGCCATGTATTATGCATGCAGAAAATTATATTATAGGATCCTTCACAGCCAGATTTAGCAACGATGAAATACTGTTGATTTCAGCCCTCATCAGACTTTGCGGTGAAGTGGGCATATTCAGAAGAAAATTGGGATTTTTTTTAGGGAATTTCCAAGTTCTTGTAAATCTACCATTTTCATGTAGGAATTTTTTTCTTGGATTATACAACCTCACCCTGGCTCTGTATTTTTCAGGTATGTAAAATAGTCAATCAAAATATGTGATACATTTAGGATTATTTAATCAGATTGCACTAAAAAGGAGGCCTAATTCCACTGTCTATTTTGTACAATGACAATAAATGGTTTTTATTCTATTATATTCTATACAGATTTTTAAATGAATGATTTAATTTATTAAAAATTATATCAAAATTAAATTAAAAAAATTTAAAAAGCTGCCTGTATGAATGTAATTGTCATGGGTTTGGGTTGGTGGGGTGTGTTTTGCATTTGTTTTCTGTGTTCATTCCTTTCCCTTGTGTTTGCTCTTCTCTGTAGTGTGTGTGTTACTTTGGTCAATTGTTTATTCATCAGGTTTCCTAGTAATTTTGAGTTCATCAGTGTTTCTATTTTACCGTCTCTGTGTTCTTTGCTTTGTCTGCAAGGCACTTATGTCATCTGTATTATGTTTCATTTTGTGACAGTTCGCTGTGTGATTCAGTTAGCTTTACTCCCTGTTAGTTTGTAGTTCGTCTGCCCTGTGGCCTGTACTACAAAGCAGGGTAACTGGCTTATCCATGTAACTTCAGGAGTAACTTTGTGATGTCAGGTGTAACTTCCCGGTTAAAGGTGGATAGGTGTTACCGAGATCTGTTGCCATGGCAATTTACACTGCATCTCTAAACTACTCCGAGCAGGTTTTGTTCGTGGTTAACTCGAGGATACCCTGCACGTGGACTACACACCATATCTGTACTCAGTGTTAATGATGAGAAGTAGGATATTAAAACACACCACTTCATAAAATATGTTTAGATTTCATCCTAATTTGTTTCACTGCGGCTGCAATGAAGTTCTGAACACAACAGCATCACATTCAGACAGCGAGCCCTGCACCCTCTGTGATTTTAGACAGGAATCTTAATTAATTAACGGGTTAGTTTCTTAGATGGAGCCCATCTGTAGTCTATAATTGAATTCACATGTGAAGTGTGAAATTTACAAGAAGAAAAATCGAAAATTTCCTGAAATTAAATTACATAAAAAAATTGAAAATCACTCTGTTTGCTTCTGAATATGCCCAATCCAAGGCAAAGTCTCTAAGGTGAATGATAGTGATTGTGGGATAAACTCACGAGTATTTCCTCACTGCTAAATCCGATAGCAATGTTTAATATAACTTTCCACTGCATGCATAGCCTAATACACGACAGACGTGTGTGTGTGTGATGTAGCAGCCTTGCAAAGTGAAGTTTCTCTCATAACTGTGTGACTATAATGTCAGAGAATAATCAAGTTTTTTTACTTGTAGATTAATCTTGGAAATTAAATTCTCTCTCGGATTATTCCCCCTCTCCTCTGGCTCCTACAATTACAATGGCCATATGTGCAGTTGTACATCTTAATCACATTACAGATAAAAGAAGAGCCCATAAAATACATAATAAAGATTTGAGCTACAATAAGAACACTGTGATGATAATTAGGCTACAAATTTACAATGCGATGCCAACAAGCCTCCCTGGTTTTGTCGTCTGGCACGATATTAAATTTAACTATTAACATGTCTTTACATTCATGATTTCCTGCGCTGTTGCGAAAAAACACCCCTTTTCTGTGAACGCACACCAACTCCAATTAGGTTAACACAGACTCAACTGACCAACATCTCATCCACCTTCGTAGTACTGTTTAACTCCAGTGTAGGCAGTCAGAGTCAACCCTGAGTTTGCCTGATAAGCCCAAGTTAACTCCCTTTGTAGTACAGGCCACAGGTATAGTGGAGTGAAGTTTCGGGACTGATCCTTTCACTTCTGAAGAGGAGAGAGAGTGGGCAAGAAGCCCTTTCACAGAGGCTTTTGGAGATCTGTCAGTGTTGTTTGACAGCACTGTCAACAACAATCCCAGGCCATTGCAGGATGCTCTACAGAACCATATGCGTTTCATCCTAAAATAAGCACTCAGCAACATTCAAGACACCATGAAAGTAATGGATTCTGTTGGGCCCCATTTGATTTCTGTTTTTAACAGCTCCCTATCTAATGGTTGTGTCCCTGATTATTTTAAAACTGCCTGTGTGAACCCACTTTTAAAGAAACCTGGTTTAGATCCCTCCCTCCCACAAAATTTTAGACCAATTTCAAAACTGCCTTTTATTGCAAAGTTTCTAGAAAGAATTGTGTCCAAACAGCTGCTCACTGTACTGGAAAATAAATTCAAAATATTTGAAAAGTTTCAGTCTGGTTTCAGGAAGTACCACAGCACTGAGACTGCCCTGCTTAAAGTCACCAATGACCTTTTAATGTCTGCTGATGAAGGCATGTGCTCAGTCCTGGTACTCCTGGACCTTAGCGCTGCTTTTGACACCATTGATCACAACATCATGTTAGACAGACTGAGGCACTGGGTGGGGATCTCTGGTACTAGAATGGTTTTCATCCTACCTGTCAAACAGGAAGTTTTGCGTGTCTGTAAACAACTATGTCTCCTCATTCTGGCCAGTTAAATATGGTGTGCCTCAGGGGTCGGTCTTAGGACCCATTTTGTTTTCCTTGTATCTGCTTCCCCTTGGACATATTATCCATAAACATGGCATTTCTTTTCATATTTATGCTGATGACACACAAATATACTTGCCCGTCAGATCCACAAACCCTGGAATGCTGAGTTCACTTATCTGCCTTTGTGAAGTTAAAAAATGGATGTCAAATAATTTCCTCCAGCTGAACTCAGACAAAACAGAAATCCTGGCCATTGGGTCCCAGCAGATGGCAAATCAAATACTGCCATCTGCTGGTTCCCTAGTAAATCACATTAAGCCTGTGGCAAAGAACCTTGGTGTTTGGTTTGATAGTAATTTAAATTTCGAGCAGCACACCACAAAGCTTGTTCAATCGTGTTTTTATCAATTTAGAAATATAGCAAAAATTCAATCTATGTTAACTTTTAAGGACAATGAGACCATTTTACACGCCTTCATCTCATCACGCCTGGATTATTGCAACAGCCTTTTTACTTGTTTAACCCAAAAATCTACTGATCGACTCCAGGCTGTCCAGAACTGAGCTGCCAGGCTTTTAACCAGAACAAAGAAATATGACCACATTACCCCTGTTTTAGCTTCACTACACTGGCTCCCAGTATGTTTTAGAATTGACTTTAAAATTCTATTGATCACTTTTAAAGCTCTTCATGGCCTCTCGCCTTGTTATATTTCTGACCTTTTAGTCCCATACGCACCAGCACGTACCTTGAGATCCTCGGGCAGAGGTCTGTTGTCTGTTCCAGAGTCTCGACTGAAAACTAAAGGGGACAGAGTGTTTGCTGTCAGGGCCCCGAGGCTCTGGAACAGCCTACCCGAGGAAATCAGGTCGGCTGAGTCAGTGAACTCTTTTAAGCCCCTTCTTAAAACATACTTTTATAGGAGAGCCTTTCCCGATCTTATTTGACTTTATTTTATCCATTTTATTTTACTTATTTTATATTTATCTTAAACATGTATTTTTGTCTTGTCAATGTTTTCTTGCTTTTATCATGTATTGTTTTTGTTTTATTGTCTTTACACTTGTTAAAGCACTTTGTAACTTCTTTTTAGAAAGTGCTCTACAAATGAAGATTATTATTATTACTAATGCCCAAAGTGCGGGACTTCAATTACCCAGGACAGGACTCCCTCTGTGGCTGGCCGGTTGGAGGTTATGGAGATTGTGAGAGGCCAATTACTGATAGTTTTTTGTTGTTTGGTTGGTTGAGTTTTATTTAATATTTGTTGATTTCACGATTCTGACATAACCTCAAGGTTCTGCTCCATTTGTATCCTCTTATAGATCATATTTGGTAATTCTAGCGACAGAGGTTGATGAGGGGAGAAGAAAAGGAGAGAGGTGAACGAGTAAAGACTGCACTCACTGCTGCACTTTTGTCCCTGTTTGTACTTACAGTTATGGAGAAACCTAGTGTTTGACTGTGTTATTCTCTTTCACACACATATGTTGCTTTCAATAATGTTAAAATGTTACAAGGCTTTACATAAACGGAAATGTTTGAGTTCATTCAGGGGCAAATAATCATTCTTTAAAGGTCACAAATAAAACCCAGGATCCTGGAAATACCTTAATTGTAGCAAAGAGTGTTTTTGGAAAATCAGATACTTATCTAATGGTAATACATATTGTGGCTAGATTCTGAGCTGCCAGACTGCTCTAGCGACGCACACACACACACACACACACACACACACACACACACACAGTTTCCTGTAGATGGAGAGGGGAGGAGCAACCCTGAGCAGGTGATCCAGGTGAAAACAGAGAAAACCTGAAGTGAAAGAGTTGAGTCAGTTTAGAGTGTATTTTGAGTCGACAGTCAACAGAGCAGAAGAAGGAGAGCAGAAGGCTGAGGCAGGGTAAGTGTTAATCCAACATTTATATTATTTCACTGTCATAGTCTCTGAGTCAGTTTTCTCCCTGTGGACTGTAGAGGAAAGAAACGTTAGAGGTAACTCAACACTTTGTGTCTGTTACTTCCTGTTCTCTCAGTCTTGTGACTCTTGAACAAACTTGTTTCTCTTGATTCTTGTGTTCTGAGCTCACAGTCAGTGTCACTGTTTTATGTCTCAGACCAACTGAAGTCCAGAAGATGAGTGTTTGTGTGGAGGAAGAGGAGGACGGAGCAGAGTCTGCAGGATCCATATGTCTGTCTATGAAGAGTGACCGGTCCAATGACCCTCCCCTGAACTTCAGTTTCAAACCTGGACCCTCAGACACAAAGTAAGAGACTGTTTTTACTGTAAACTGACCTGATGGAAGATGATGCATTGAGGATGAAGACAAAATGTTCTGCTAACAGATTTATATTCCTGATGCAGAACTATTAGTGCAGATACTGTTTCAAACTAAGATGGATCTGATTAGATTTCTGGAGCAAAACACCTGAGAACCTCGATTTCAGAATTTACACTTCAAGAACATCTTCATATATTTTTGCTTCACGTTGACGTCACTGTAAAGATTTAGAAGGATTCAGAATCTGAAAGAATCTGCTTCAAATGTGTCCTTCATTTTCTCCTATTTGTCCTCTAAACACTGAGCTGTTTGGCTCTTCCTCAGATCAGCTGTTCTGATCCACCAGATGCATCTTGAATCACTTCAGATCATAATTGTGCAACATGTGGTGAAAAAGCATTTGTAGTTCAGCTTTGCTCACCTTGATGAACACTTTGCTTTGAATCATTAGTAAGTGGAGCTTTGAGCTCAGATTCTCTCCACCATATATTGTTCCTAAAGGTGAAGAACAAACATCCACGGGCAGCACTGATGGAAAAGTTAGCAGTGGATGGAAAAAGGGCAGAAAATGGTCACATGGAGATTTGGACCACTTCTTCATTTAGGGATCCATGCAGCAAAGCTGCTGTTTTTATTCTCATTATATTTTCTTTTTTCTACATGGGGCACTACATATGAAAAGTTTACACCTCGTAATTCGCTGCATGATTCGTACAAAATTTGGTTTGTATGATCTAGGGTCCCTACTCCGTGGACGCATAAAATATGGTAACGATTGCTTAAACAAATGTAAATTTCTAGACATTTCTCATTCCAAAGAAAATCACCCATACGTCCTGAACAGCTGAAATTTTCAGAACATCCACTGATATGTGACAGAACTTTGACGACCTATGATCAATTTAGAAGACAGTCACTCAGTATTTTTCAAAATATGCTAAATCAATAACCTCTATAGCTCCACAAGTCTTTCTTCAAATGCTACCAAAATGTGTTTCAAAGGGTTTTCAGATCGCTCGAACTGTGAGTCCGCATTGATATTCAATATCTTGTTGTAATTTGTACAGTATGCACAACATCGTTTTTGCTCAGTGTTGGATTAGCACCAATATATTTGACAATATAACCAAAACCAGGATGATGTGATTATTTTTTTTCCAATTTCATCTCTAATATTTTGACTGTTTTAAAGGTGCTGTAGAATACTAATTTTCAGATTCATGCTTGTATTTAAGGTTTCTATTGGAAAGTAATGAGAATTTTTTAACACTAATGTTTTAACACAAAAAATTATGTTCCTCATACTGTCCATTACTTCAGCAACTTTTAGAGATTTTTGGTAGGTTGCAAATTTCGCTCATTACTCAGGCACAGATGACACTCATTGACACTGTAAAAATTAATTTTGTGTTTCTGCAATTACTACAAAAAGGCTTGGCTTAGAGTTCAAATCCTGCCATCACTTTAATCTCTTAAGTCATCTGGGTCTACTCTTTTCTTCTGGAAATAGCAAATGTTGCTTTTTCGTGACCTGCTTGGATCACAATCATGACTACTTTTACGTTCCATCGCAGTACTTTTCTCCTTCCACCCCTTCCTAACCATAGCTGTGTCTATCTTCGCTCAGCTGCTTCAAACACAGTCAAAGTGGATTGACACCAATTCCTGTTTCAAAGAGAAATTCAGCAAGCTGCCATAGCAGAGCAGAGATAGACAGAGCTATGACTGAGAAGGAATAGAAGAAGAAAAGTAAAAGTAGCTCTTCAAAGTATTCTTGCCCTTACCTTTTGGGGGCTCCATAGATAGTTGACAGTAGAGAGTTTCAGGAAACAATGACATACAAACAAGGCTATGTGTGAACTTGAACCTGTGACACCGCTGTTACATGCTATAAGTTTAAACCACTTCTATCCTCAGTTCAAAGCTAACTAACTCAATCTATGCTGCCCAGAGTCACTGTAAAACAATGAAGGACATAATCAGCTTGCTCAGTGCCGGCCAAATCTATATATTTTTCAACAAAATGCAACAAATCATTTTAATTCTACAGAAATGTCTTCACAGAGAGAGGAAGAGGAGTTCTGTTTCTGTGGAGGAGCAGCCGTCCTGCTGTGCTTTGTGTCAGGACGTCCTGAAGGATCCAGTCTCTACCAGCTGTGGACACTGGTTCTGCAGACGGTGCATCACCTCATACTGGGACCAGTCTGCTTCATCAGGAGACTCCTGCTGTCCCCAGTGTGGAAAAAGATCCAGAACAAGAACTGCAAGTAAGACTGGACATCTGTCTGCTGATGGACTTATGTCTGAAAAAATTATTTTTGTGTTGCAACGGTCACATAGTGTTGTTCTGCTGCATGTGCAAAAATCTAAACTCTCCATCTTAATTTCTTCTTTTTTAGTTTTATTTGGGTGCTGAAAACTAATACTTTTATAATTAGACCTTTTATTATTTGTCTTACAGTTGACTTTGGTCTGCAGGAGGTTTTAGATGAACTTAAGATCATTCTGAGGAGGAGATGTGAACGTGTGACTGAAGGAAGTGATGAAACAGGAAGTGGAACCCTCCTCAACAGGATCTACACTGAGCTCTACATCACAGAGGGACAGAGTGAAGAGGTTAATACCCAGCATGAGGTGAGGCAGCTTGAGACAGCTTCCAAGAAGAAGACCCTCCATGACACTCCAATCAGGTGCCAGGACATCTTTAAAGCCTTACCTGGCCAACAGAGAGCCATCAGAGTGGTTCTGACCAACGGCGTCGCTGGCGTTGGAAAAACCTTCTCAGTGCAGAAGTTCACTCTGGACTGGGCAGAGGGCTCGGAAAACCAAGATGTCGGTCTGCTGGTTCTGCTCTCGTTCAGGGAGCTGAACTTGATCAAAGATGAGCAGCACAGTCTCCTCACGCTGCTCCATGTTTTCCATCCAACATTACAGAAGGTCCCAGCAGAGAAGCTCGCCGTCTGGAAACTGTTGTTCATCTTTGACGGCCTGGATGAAAGCAGACTTTCATTGGATTTCCACAACAGTGAGGTTGTGTCTGATGTCACACAGAAGTCATCAGTCAACCTGCTGCTGACAAACCTCATCGAGGGGGATCTGCTTCCCTCGGCTCTCGTCTGGATAACTTCCCGACCTGCGGCGGCCAATCAGATCCCTCCTTCGTGTGTCGGCAGGGTAACGGAAGTACGAGGCTTCACTGACGCCCAGAAGGAGGAGTACTTCAGGAGGAGAGTCAGTGATGAAGAGCTGTCCAGCAGAATCATCTCACACATCAAGACCTCCAGGAGCCTCCACATCATGTGTCTAATCCCAGTCTTCTGCTGGATCACTGCTACAGTTCTGGAGCACATTTGACTACAGAGCAGAGAGGAGAGCTGCCCAAGACCCTGACTGACCTGTACTCACACTTCCTGCTGGTTCAGATAAAGAGGAAGAAGCAGAAGTACGATGAGGGACATGAGACGAGTCCACAGGAGCTGACGGAGGCTGACAGGAAGGTTCTTCTGAAGCTGGGGAGGCTGGCGTTTGAACAGCTGGAGAAAGGAAACATCATGTTCTACCAAGAAGACCTGGAGCAGTGTGGTCTTGATGTCACAGAGGCCTCGGTGTACTCAGGAGTTTGTACAGAGATCTTCAAAAGAGAGAGTGTGATCTTCCAGAAAACAGTCTACTGCTTTGTTCATCTGAGCGTTCAGGAGTTTCTGGCTGCAGTCTACATGTTCCACTGTTACACCAGCAGGAACTCAGAGGGACTGGAGGACTTCCTTGGAAAAGACCTGAAAGACAAGAAGAGTCACTCATCCCATGTCTTCCTGAGCAGAGCCATGCAGAAATCCCTTGAAAGTAAAAATGGCCACCTGGACCTGTTTGTTCGCTTCCTTCATGGCCTCTCTCTGGAGTCCAACCAGAGACTCTTAGGAGGCCTGCTGGGTCGGACAGACAACAGTCCAGAAATCATCCAGAGAGCCATCAACAACTTGAAGGAGATGAATCACAAGATCTCTCCTGACAGAAGCATCAACATCTTCCACTGTCTGACGGAGATGAACGACCACTCAGTACATCAGGAGATCCAAGAGTTCCTGAAGTCAGAGAACAGATCAGAGAAGAAACTCTCTGAGATCCACTGCTCAGCTCTGGCCTACATGCTGCAGATGTCAGAGGAGGTTCTGGATGAGTTGGACCTGAAGAAGTACAACACATCAGAGGAGGGACGACGGAGACTGATTCCAGCTGTGAGGAACTGCAAGCAGGCTCGGTAAGTCCAGATATGATTAACATAATAAGTGTAGATTAGTTGTTTTGTTCTTCAAATATAAACACTACAACATTATTATTATTCTCAAAATAGTGTTGTACTTGTTTATTAAAACATTTGTCAGTTGTATTTTGTAACAGATTAGATTGAGATTTTTCCATTTGATTGTGTTTTATTAGGGGTCCAAGCCCGAAGTGGGCTGGGAACTCGATTGTTTCCGTTCTCGTTTTTATTAGGGCCCGAGCGCGAACCGTGTGAGGTCCCTATTGAAACTGTAAAGAATTTTTTTTTTTCCTGCAAAGTAAGCTCAATTTTGGGGGCCTAACCATACTCGAAAACTCACCAAACTTTGCACACATGTCAGAAGTGGTCTTTTTTTATGGGTTTTACGCATAGGCGTTGCAAAATAACTCGCTAGCGCCACCTAGAAAATTGGAAAAAAATTAGCCCCTCGTCCACGTTCAACCTACATGCACGAAATGTTCAGGGGACATGTATCATTTCAAGATGCACAAAAAAGCCTCAAGAACCCATACCCTGAACTCAACAGGAAGTCGGCCATTTTGAATTTTACGGATATTTTTGGATGATTTACACACTTCGTACTTTAACGAACTCCTCCGAGGGATTTAGTTGGATCGACTTCAAATTTCTGCTGTGCCTTCTAAAGGCATTGAATAAGTTGTGCTATTTGTGAGTTTTTGTCAATGGGCGTGTCTGTGGCGTCTATGATTCGCCATGAAACAGGAAGTTATTATGACTTCAGTCTGCATGCTCTGCAGTCTGCACCAAACTGTACATGTAGGATGAGAGTCCCGCCCTGAACACATGTACATGCTGATATTCACTCACACCAGCAGAGCTCCAGAATATGCAGTGCAGAGGAGGAGGGACTGATACAGACTGATGGTATTCTTTCTAAACGTAACTCACTACTTGTGATGTCAGATAAAGTTATTGAGTTACTTTGCTGTTGTAAACCTTAATGTTTTAAAATATTAAATTAAAAAGCAACCAGGCAGTTAATATGTAAGCTTCAATATACAGTATGTTTATTTATCGCAAGTGATATCTCAATACATAACGTTCTCGCACATTGAATATTTTCCTCATACCATGCAGGCCTACCTCATGCCCGTTGGGTCTGGTTTTACCAAATAACCATGACTAAATAATATTAAAGTATCCATAGTGGTATCAACAAAGAATCGTATCGTTAAGCAGTCTCAATAAGGGTATCAATAAAAGTTAACGATCCCCATCCCTATTTATACCCCTACTCAAAAAACCCTCCTTCAACCCTATTCAAGTTTGGAACAATTGGCCAGTTTCCCTTCTATCATTTCTATCCAAAGCTTTCGAATGGGGAGTCGGAATGCAATGACCTCCTAGATCCATATCAGTCTGGCTTTTAAGACTCTACTGAAATGGCTTTGTTGTCTGTGACGGAAGCCTTAAGGTCACCTAAAGCTGCAACACAGTCCTCTGTTCTGATCCTGCTTGACATTTCAGCTGCCTTTGACACAGTCAATCACAGGATCCTGCTTTCCCCACTTTAGGCAATTGGCATCTCGGATAAAGCACTCCTCTAATCCTCCCCAATCCTACCTCTTTCAAGGTCAATTGTCCTCCCCTCGCTGCCTCTACACAGGGATGCCCAAGGCCCAGTGTTAGGGCCCCCTTCTCTTCTCAATTTACACCACCTCACTGGGGCCGATCATTTGGCATGGCTTCTCTTAACACGCAGACAGTTCTCAACTTTACCTATCCTTCCCGCCAGACAACCCCACTGTCTCGGTGCAGATCTAGACTGTCGCTTGGAAATATCTGCAGAGAAGATGGCTTGCCACCTTCAATTAAACCTCTATCCACCATAACATCAAACTACAAGTTTACTCCTCAACCATCACTCCAACCAGGGTGGTGAGGAACTTGGGTGTCATGATTGATGACTAGCTGTCCTTATCTAACTCCTTACAATTCTTTTGTATTCATTAAACAATTTTGTTAACTCACTTCTTTCCCCAGGTGTTTACCCCATTGATGCTGTATGTGCTATGTTATGATTGATTATTTGAATGATCCTTGTTGTTTATTACTATAGACAGATAGATCCACAATATACCATCTATCCAAACAATAAACCATGGGTCTCTATATCCATAAAATACACAATTAAACAGAAAAATATCAGTTATAATAAAAGGGATAGTGGTATGCCGATGTTTCATACTAAGAGATCTTGTAGGATGAAAACGTGACAAGATTTCTCATCAGGTTAAAAGCTGTCTTGCGAGACTCACAATATTTCACACTGTCAAGCCACACGTCAGTTTTCTCACGCAGTGATAAACAAATGTATAATGGTTTGTTTCATTTTTGTGGGTGTGAACCAGACATCAGCTGGTAGAAAAGAGAGATCATCTTTCCCAACTATAGTTGTAAGTGTAGTTGGGCCTCATGCTAACTTTTTGGAGATAGACACGTGATCAGATCACACTGACAGGTTGGGGACATTATAGAAGCCTAAATGCAACTATATCATCTCTCCTTCATCTGCAAGATTCAAGCAAAACTAAAATTTACTGGTATGAAAGAGCGTGATGACAATTATTTCAGGTTTTTCTTGTCATGTCAGCTGATTCCACCACATACTACATATGTCAAGCTGTTTTCTCATCAAATGCATGACGTAAATATAAAGTTTACGTTTCCTTACAGACTTTCTGGCTGTGGACTCTCAGAGACTTACTGTGAAGTTGTGGCCTCAGCTCTGAAGTCCAACCCCTCCCATCTGAGAGGGCTGGACCTGAGTAACAATGAACTGCAGGATTCAGGAGTGAAGCTGCTGTGTGGTTTTCTGGAGAGTCCACACTGCAGACTGGAGACTCTGAGGTCAGACACCATTTTTGTCTTCTGTGCTGAGATTAATACAAGGTGAAAGTTGTGGTGACACTAAAGTACAAATTTCCAAGATTTGATTTCATTTATTTCTTTCATTTTATCCTTATTTCAAGTCTGATTCTTATTCTAATATATTTTATATTATTTTATTATTATTTACTTATATAATACACCACATGGGAAGTAGAGTAAAAGGTATATTTGTCTGATGGATGTAGTTTCTTTTTAAATCCAATAAGCCAATTTCATCCAGACATCTTTTCAGTGATTTAGTTTGAGGAATTACATTCCTCTTATTATTAGAGGTATGCCATTTAACATTTATTATCACAATAACATCTCCTGCACATATTAATATGCCTTCTGATTCTGAAGCAAGTGCCTTCTTCATAACTTTTTGGTCACTTTGTGAATGTAGATAAACACAATGTCACAGTTTGTGTGGAGAGGCAGGTTGGAGGACCCAAATGCAGGACACACAGCTGAAATGTGTAGTTAAAAGATTTATTAACAAAAAGTGAGCGCACTTACAGGCAGCGGCTGAGTCCAAAGACAAATCCACAAGGGCAAGGGAAAACACAAAATACAGGTTGACACGGTTTCAGGCAGATATCCAGACAGCACTTCTTCACACGACAAAAACACTGTAATGACCCAACAAAGATTAGACTGAAACACCAGGTATATATATAGGGACTAACGAGCAGGGCGGGAGCAACACAGGTGACAGGGATCAAGGTTAACGAGGCACAGGCAGGCAGAGAGACAGCAGAGGAAAACAGAGAGACTGACAAGCAGAGGGATCACTGGGGTAACAGACACGACACCGGTTACTGAACACTAGACGATAGACAAAAAAAGAACCCCAATATGCAACAGACCAAAATAACAGATAATAAACTGACCAAACTCAGAAGTGCAAAACATGGCATGGCTGACTGCCACGAGGGTGGTCAAATAATTTTCTATTTTGCCTTGCACTAGGATATACTCTCTATCCCTGGACAATAACTTAAAAGTAACAATTATAAATAAATGTAGGGAATTTTACTACACAATTTTAATACACTCATTGGGGCACCGCTCAACATTGTAAGCTGTCAATCTCATATCTGAATTCTAAGCTCTAAAATACAGTGATTTGATCCTGTTAAATATAACAACAAACTAGTGATAAGGTAAACTAAGGTAACTAAACTATCAGCGGTACTATTTGGGGAATGAGTCATTCTTCAAATGATGAAGAAAAATGAATGGATATCAGTTATGGATCTAACTCCATAAAAGTGAGTCTGAATTTATAGACTGATAAAAGTATTTTGCTGTCTTTTATTAACTGTTTCTTTCGCAGGCTGTTGTTCTTCGGTGTGTTGGTTTCAGGAATGGAAGTCTGAATTTAGCTCTTGCAACCCTCTGTAGTTTGTCAAACTTTGGTTTGACAATTTCGTTGGCCATTTGAAATTAAATAAAGTCAATATGAAAAGAAATAAAAACTTCAAAAGGAAAAAAGTTAATCAAAGAAAGTACTTTAACCCTCTATGGCAAGAATTTTTATTTTAGAAAAAAATATTTTACCCTAGTTTTTGAGAGCTTGGGGGTCCCTGATAATATCAGTCATAAAATGTCCCCCCGAAACCCAACAATTCCCACCAAGAGCAAGCACTTGGCAAGGAGCAGGGAAAAACCATCTTTCAGTTTATCAATCAGTTGATTAGATATTAGCTGCAGTGTGTGTTTGTGTTTCTGAATGTGTGTTTCTGTGGGCTATTGATTGAATCATTTGTGTTTTAGTTTTTTACAAAGTACAATCTCTATTATTTTGCACGGAACCTCAGGAAACAGTTGCTGGTCACAGACTTATCATCAGACTTGTAATGTGATATTTTACTTTTAAAAAAATTAAAGGAGGCAGGTGGTTGCCAAAATAGTGTTTTGTTGCCTGGGGGCAACACCATGCCATAGAGGGTTAAATAAAATAAAACAAAGAGTTAAACGTAACCTCAGGCAGGGGAGTTTTTGAAGAAGACAATGCGAGGCAAGTAATCATTGTCTTTTATCTCAGCTCTCTTAGGGCATGTTTGAATGGAGAGGTGGGGGTTAAGTTTGTGAGAGTTTAACTGTAGTTTACTAAATATATTTAAATCTCTGTATTACGCACATTGACCAAACTTCATCCCACTGTAGTCAAACACACTAACAATATCATGTGCAATCAAACAATCAAAAATTGTGTAAAAGTTTGTTTCAGTAATTAATGAAGAAAATAAAGTAAATCATCATTACACCATTTCCTAACTACTTCTTGTTGTCAACATGCAAAGAAAAAGGAATCTTCTGCCTACAGTTATGTTGATTTAAACACTGTACTGTAATATTGTACTTATACTAACCAGATAAAAGACAAACCAAAGCAAGACTAACTGCAATTTATAGAGCACGATTTCCAGAAAAATAAATATAAATAAAGTCAGATCATGTAATGGTGATGATAAAAAATGCTAGGATATGTAATTATTATTTAAGCTGTCACACTTTAGCAAGGGAAGGACTACAAATTAAACTTTGGAATTGATTACTTTCATATGGCCTTTAAGTGTAGTACTATCTTTTGACCTCTGGGTCGCAGTGTGGTTCCATTGTAAAATTGGATTAGTTGGGGGTCATATGCAGCAAAGCTAGGTAGATGTTAGCCCAGGGGCTCTTCATACAAATTAATTTTATTACCATAAACACACAAACCCACGTGTTACGTCCCTGCTCTCTAGGGGTAGGAGAGACGTAAACATAAACCAGATGGATTTGGTATGGGTGGAAAGATTATTTATTAAACAGTCTGTTACACACAAAATGGTCAAACAGAAAATGGGCAAGTGGGTACTGCGTAAAACAAAGAACCAAATATAATAAAAAGAAATCCCTCCTCACAGTGTAACACATGTAGGGAGAAACACAGCAGCGACACACAGATGGCTGCCCTCGGCAACCGTAACACACATTAATTTACTTGGATAGCTGCAGTATGGATCTTAGACCCAGGAACTAACTACATTTAGCTGGTGAGCAAATCCTGACACGTTCAGATAAAACTACTTCTATCATCTGTGACCAAGAAATTACTCAATCTATCTCCGGAAGAACCTATTGGTTCAGCAGAGGACCAGTTGTTTTAACTGTTCTCAAATTGACTAAAGAAAAGAACTTCTTTCATTAATAATAATCTTTTTATACAGCACTTTTAAAAAAACATGTTACAAAGTGCTGTAACAAGTGCAAAGACAATGAAACATCCTATAAAAGTATGTTTTAAGAATGGACTTTAAAGACTTCACCTGACTCAGCTAACCTTATTTCCTCGACCAGGCTGTTCTAGAGCCTCGGAGTCCTGACTGCAAAAGCTTTTTCAGTTGAGACTCTAGAACAGACAAAAGAACTCTGCCCGCAGATATCAATTTATGTGCAGGTGTGTATCGGACAAGAGATTGAACTGAGCGAGAGGCTATGACTTCACAATGGAGAAAGTTGACCAACTGGAAAGTTGCAACCGACGCAACAACATACGTGTCATTAATCTTCAGAAAAGCTGCAAGGTAAACGCCCTGTTAATCTTTTTGTTAACTGGATTTTGTTAACTGGAACAAAAAACTGCTCTCGCTCCACGTTGGAGCAAGAGCATCACAGAGCATCTGATGGTTGAAAGAGCACATCAGGCTCTTGCACCCTGTCCACCTGCAGACCAGAGGCCGAGACATATCCTGACACGCTGTTGAAATGTCAAGATTGGGACAATATCCTGCACATCGTGGAATGGTGGAGAGAGGTTCCCATCATGTACAGTATATGATAAGCCCGTGCTCTTTATCCCTGAGTGCTGGCTTAATGAAGCGCAGGAAGGAGTACGACCAAGTTAAGAGGGAGCTTTTGTCTAATGATATTCAGTTTGCCCTACTGCGTCCCACAACACAGAGGATCATGCTCCCAGATGGAGAGAGACGATTCTTTAAAACACCTAAGCTAAGGCAGCATTCCTGCACATCTCCTAACTGACCATAACAAGTGGAAACCGGACAGACAGCCATAGTTTTTACGGGCTACACTGTCTTTATTTATTTATTATTGCAGTCACTCTCAGTAACTGACCGGGGGGTTGAGAGTTGAGACATAGCAACTCCTCAGTTATTAGTATTTCAGCAAGGAGCTGATGTTGAAGACCAGAAAAAGAACAATCCACTAGAGAAATACATGGATCCACATAGTTAAGATGAGAAAAGATTCTGAATATGTCAAAATAGCCGTGTGTTCACGCAAGTACATGCTTCAGGACCCAAATACAGGACAGGTACAAGGCGGGTTTATTTAACATAAAGAACAATTCACAAATAAGTCCTGGCACTCAAAGTAAGGCAGTGCAACAACAACCAAGGAAATCCAAAAGCAATAAATCCATAAATACCAGCCGATAATATTTACGTGAACAAACAGGATCAGGCAGACACAACGGACAAGGAAGTACAGAACAGTGTCAAATATTTAAATACTGGCTAACGTGGAGGGAGGGAGCACAAACAGGTGATACTCATCATGACAGTAGACATGATTGGCGTACAGAACACAGACAGATAGGTTACAGAACACAAGACAAGAATCCAGCTACAGTTAGAACCCAAAACTCTGAACAGACCAGTCTGTCACAAACTGGCTGCGAGTCACAGTGGCAGAATGTGGGGTTGCATCAGCTGGGTGGAGTTGATTAGCACAGTTTGCTATTGTGGCACCACCCTGACATGTCACCTATGCTACGGCCTGAATATATATTTTCCTGGTTCTTGTCAGCATAAGTTCTGCAGCATTCTGTATCAACTGAAGAATATTAAGGACATTATTCCGGCAACCTAAGAAAAACAAATTGCGGTAATCCAGCCTAGACGTAACAACTGCATGAACAAGTTTTTCTGTATAATTTTAAGTCAGGATGTGCCTGGTTTTTGCAATGTTAAAAAAGTGAAAATGACATATAGTTATAGTTTATTTTATGTGGGACTTGAAGGACATATCCTGATCAAAGATAACTGAATGAATTACTATGGTGCTGGAGGCCAGGGCAATGCTATCTAGAGTAACAATATCTTTAGATACTGTGTTTCAAAGGTGTCTGTAGCCAGGTACAATAACTTCAGTTTTATGTAGTTAAGTTTTACATAAGAAAATGGCAAGTCATCACGGTTTGTACATTATTAAGGCATGCCGGAAGTTTAGCTAACTTGCATGTATGTATTTTTTTTACATAGGGATTTATTGCTTAATCTTATTGAAGGCTTCATAAAATGAAGAAATGATAATTCTGCTTCATTGCGTGCAATTCCAATCAGTATTGCACAAGTATAAGCCTCCACCTTGGGTTTCTACTGCTGTGTTTGTGTCAGTGGTTTGTGCCAGCTAGCTCCATGGGGTACCCTTTCCTTTTCATATCCTCGAATACATCTGCTCATCATTGTAGAGACAAGATCTGTTTTCTAGATCCTGACCGATTTATCGTTTTGACTATTAAAAGGTCGGACCTTTCTCTCTTGTCATGAGTGTTTCATATTTTGCCCACCAAAGGGTGCTCTGCTGCTCCTCTGTTCAAAACACTGTAGCACCACAGAACAAAACATCTGCTGACCGGAGTCTACTGGAGCATGTAGAAACAACTAGCTCCTGGTAGCAGATTGAATTTTAACATCATCAAATATCAAAATCGCCATCAGACTTAAAAATCCCATATCAGTCGGGCTCTACTGTTTTCATGATGAATCCTCATCTTCTCAATGTCTTGTCACGCCTCGGTACGAAAGTCGTGTGCACAAGTGATCATCCTCTTAATGATCTGTTCTTTATTCAGATTGAGTTCCGGTAGTTTATCAGAGATCAGCTGTGCTTCTCTGGCCTCAGCTCTGAAGTCCAACCCATCCTATCTGAGAGAGCTGGACATGAGTCTCAACTACGTGCAGGATTCAGGAGTGAAGCTTTTGTGTGATTTTCTGGAGAGTCCACATTGTAGACTGGAGTATCTGAGGTCAGTTCACTGACTCACTGTTACTGTTGTAGAACTTATGTTTAATGAACAATTGAACCAAATGTCTGTTCATACATAAAGTTGTAAATGTCCTTTTGTTCATATTTTCATGTTTCCTGTACTAAATTTAGTCTGCAGAGTTGTGTTTCTTAAAGAAACTTTAGAAAATGTCCGCTGTTAGTCGTTAAAGTAAATGAATGTTTCTAATTTTTGGTAAATGGTCACATCTGTATACAGAAGATCCTCTAAACTAATATTTGTTTTAAATATTATCAAGTGTATGTGTTGAAGTAGCAGTATTACTTTGGTTTATGTGAATTTCATGTGTTTTCACAAAGAATGTCTGGTCATTAAAATTGAAGGTAACAGGTTTATGAATATTTTTGTGACATTTGGATGATGTCTGTAGAAGGCTGACATTATGATAATCCACAATAACACAATGACAAAGTCCCTCTTCTCATTTTAGGGAAAATCTCATTGATTAGGACATAGTAATGTTGAGCTCCACATTTAAAACTTGAACACATCTGATTGGAGTAGAAATGGATTTTAATCTGCATAATTTATTCTTTATTCAGATTGAGGTTCTGCAGTTTGTCAGAGATCAGCTGTGCTTCTCTGGCCTCAGCTCTGAAGTCCAACCCCTCCCATTGAGAGAGCTGGACCTGAATGACAACAAGCTGCAAGATTCAGGAGTGAAGCTGCTGTCTGCTGTATTAGAGAGTCCGAACTGTGGACTGGAGACTCTGAGGTAAGATGCCTTTTTTTTACTTCTGTGCTGAGATTAACATGATGTGGCAACCCATTCTCAACCTAGGGTGACCGAAATGGACACTTTGTCAAGACCGTTTGGCATAGCTTTTCAATGTCAATGTCCTGGGTACCCTTTAGGCTCACTTTTGTACGTGTAGGGCGTTGCGGTGTTCGGTGAGTGACTACCAGGTTTTGAGCCGAAATGCATGACACAGGAAAACTGACAGAAAATGAAAGGTTTTTAACCCACAACAAAATAGAAAATCAGACAGTGTTCACATTCTGGCTACTGCTTCATTGAATGCAGATTACATTTTATTCAAAGTTAACGTAAGTAAGAGGAAAGGAGATATTCGCTAAAAAGAGTAAGTTGAAACTGAAAAAATTTGATATGATAAGAATTAGGAAAAAAAGAGATAATATTGCAGCCTGTATTTTATGTCAGTGTCTTTGGTTCTTTTTCAGCATTGTGTGGATGTGTGTTTGAATGTAAATGTTGGTCTGCTGTTGTGTGTAAGGGTCTGACTTTCTGGCAGTTTTGCTCTAGTTAGTGACCTCTGACTACAAAATTTGTTGTGTGGTATAGGCCACATATGAACTGGTGTAACAAATTTTATTTATCGCCATCCACATTAGTTAAATAAGCAAGGATAAATTGTAAGCATTGTAAGATTTTAGTTCCTTGAAGCCGGGCGCCTGTGATATACTGGGTTTGACAGGGGGAACAGACATAACACTGACAAGTAGCAAAACAGGCCAAACTCAAAAAAAAAAAAATAGGCAGAGGCCAACCAAAACAAAACACGCAAGAACAAAGCCCAAATCAAACAACAATCAACACTATAATAATAATAATAATAATAATCCTTATTTGTAGAGCACTTTTCAAAAACAAGTTACAAAGTGCTTTAACAAGTGTAAAGACAATAATACCCAAGAGACAATAATACAAAAAAAAATACAAATAAAAGCATGAAAACATTGAAAAGACTAAAATACAGATAAATGTTAAGGGACGGGATAGAAAGGAAGGTTTAGGGGAACGGGCAGGGTTGAACTGAAAACATAGGGCTAGACAGGGTGCCTGAGGGTAGAGTTAGGGGACTAGAGAGTACAGATGGGGTGCCAGAGGGCGGAGCTGGGAGGCCAGGGGGTTCGGGCGGACGTCCCGAGGGCGGAGCAGAGGGACCAGGGGTTCGGGCGGACGTCCCGAGGGCGGAGCAGGGGAGACAGGGGGTCCGGCGGACGTCCCACGGACAGAGCAGATGAGACAGGGAGGTCCGGCGGGCGGCCCGAGGACGGAGCAGGGAAGCCAGGGAGGTCCGGCGGGTGGCCCGAGGGCGGACCAGGGAAGCCAGGCAACACGAGGAGCAGGGGTCGGCCGGACCACCAGCGGGGCTGAAGCCGGTCGATCCGCCGACAGAACACGAGGAGCAGGGGTCGGCCGGATCACCGGCGGGGCTGAAGCCGCCAACAAGACACTCACCGTCAGCCGGGCTGCCACCACAACAGATAAATATAAAATTAGTAAAATACAATAAAATAAAAATATAGGATAAAATAAAGTCAAATAAGATCGGGAAAGGCTCTCCTATAAAAGTATGTTTTAAGAATGGACTTAAAAGAGTTCACTGACTCAGCCGACCTGATTTCCTCGGGCAGGCTGTTCCAGAGCCTCGGGGCCCTGACAGCAAACGCTCTGTCCCCTTTAGTTTTCAGTCGAGACTCTGGAACAGACAACAGACCTCTGCCCGAGGATCTCAAGGTACGTGCTGGTGCGTATGGGACTAAAAGGTCAGAAATATAACAAGGCGAGAGGCCATGAAGAGCTTTAAAAGTGATCAATAGAATTTAAAAGTCAATTCTAAAACATACTGGGAGCCAGTGTAATGAATCTAAAATAGGAGTAATGTGGTCATATTTCTTTGTTCTAGTTAAAAGCTTGGCAGCTGAGTTCTGGACAGTCTGGAGTCAATCAATAGATTTTTGGGTTAAACAGGTGAAAAGGCGGTTGCAATAATCCAGGCGTGATGAGATGAAGGCGTGTAAAATGGTCTCGGTGTCCTTAAAAGTTAACATAGATCGAATTTTTGCTATATTTCTAAGTTGATAAAAACATGATTGAACAAGCTTTGTGGTGTGCTGCTCGAAATTTAAATTACTATCAAACCAAACACCAAGGTTCTTTGCCACAGGCTTAATGTGATTTACTAGCGAATGGCAGTATCTGCCATCTGCTGGGACCAGGATTTCTGTTTTGTTTTGTTTTGTTGTTTTTGAGTTCAGCTGGAGGAAATTATTGACATCCTTTTTTAACTTCACAAAGGCAGTTGTTAAGTGAACTCAGCATTCCAGGGTCTGTGGATCTGATGGGCAAGTATATTTGTGTGTCATCAGCATAAATATGAAATGAAATGCCATGTTTATGGATAATATGTTCAAGGGGAAGCAGATACAAGGAAAACAAAATGGGTCCTAAGACTGACCCCTGAGGCACACCATATTTAACTGGACAGAACGAGGAGACATAGTTGTTTACAGACACGCAAAACTTCCTATTTGACAGGTAGGATGAAAAACATTCTAGGGCAGTACCAGAGATCCCCACCAAGTGCCTCAGTCTGTCTAACTGTCTGATCAATGGTGTCAAAAGCAGCGCTAAGGTCCAGGAGTACAAGGACTGAGCACATGCCTTCATCAGCAGACATTAAAAGGTCATTGGTGACTTTAAGCAGGGCAGTCTCAGTGCTGTGGTACTTCCTGAAACCAGACTGAAACTGAAACTTTTCAAATAATTTTTTTATTTTCCAGTACAGTGAGCAGCTGTTTGGATACAAGTCTTTCTAGAATCTTTGCAATAAAAGGCAGTTTGAAATTGGTCTAAAATTTTGATGGAGGGAGGGATTTAAACAAGGTTTCTTTAAAAGTGGGTTCACGCAAGCCGTTTTAAAATAATCAGGGACACAACCAGTAGATAGGGAGCTGTTGAAAACAGAGATCAAATGGGGCCCAACAGAATCTATTACTTTCAGTAAAAATTTTGTAGGTATTACATCAAGTGGGCTGGAGGACACTCTCATTTGTGTTACTGTTTTTAAAAGCTCAGACAGGTCGATGGGATAAAACTGGTTAAAACTCTCTTGTTGCTGGTGAGGAACCTCTGAGTAAGAGGCCGCGGGGGTAATAGAGGCTCTGATTGACACCACCTTATTGGTAAAATAAGATAAAAACAATTCATAGTCATCATTACTTCCAGCTGAGGCACAAGGAGGGGTTGGGTTTACCAGCTGATCCACAGTCTTAAACAGAAACCTGGGATTGTGTTTATGTGTAGTAATGACTTCAGAAAAATAGTGTGTTCTCGCATGCTTAACCGTGTTATTGTATTTAATTAATAAATCCTTCAGACTGAGGTAATGGACTTGGAGACTGGATTTTTTCTATCTGCGCTCTGCTTTCCTGCATTCCCTTTTTAGGCTGCGAATGCTGTCATTTATCCAGGGTTGCTTACTAGCTTTAGACGTAGGCCTAACCTTTAGAGGAGCAGTAATATTTAGTGACGACAAGCAGATATGATTGAAGTGATCAACCAGATTGTTGGTGTTGGAATCAGACAGGTGTTGGCTTTGGCTCTGAAAGAATGCGTAAAACTTTGAAACACTTTGTTCATTAAAGAAGCGAGAACACACAGGGCTTGGTGAGGCGGCATGAGTAACAGGCGAATCGCAGCTAAAAACAATCCATCTGTGGTCAGATATGGTCATGTCCAATAATTCCACAGAGTAAATGCTGACACCCATGGTAAAAACCAGTCCAGTGTATGACCATAGTTATGTGTTTGCCCTTTGACATGTTCTTTGAAGTTAAAAGAAGTGGCCATATTTAAAAAGTTAGTTGCATTAACATTGTTGGGGTCATCAACATGAATATATGCGTGATGATGACAGGAATAGAGGTCTTTGAAACAGTGCTGGGAGCAGACGGCTTTACAGCAGGTGGAGACAGTTATTTGTGGCAGTGAGGCAGAGATCTTTTCAGTGAGCGGTGGTGTGTCCAGGTGTGCTGCATGAATGATTAGTCATTCACGTAAGTCATGTGTGGACCGCACCACATGCTGTATGTGCACAGCTAACATTTCTGAGCCCCGTTTGTTTGGGTGAAGTCCGTCTGTCTTAAAAAGAGACATTCTTTGCCAGAAAATATTAAAATTATCCACATAACACACACGATGAGCCCTGCAGGCGGACTGGAGCCAGTCATGGAGGCCAAGGAGTCTACTGAAGCGGCCAGCACCGCGACCGACTGTGGGAATGGGACCAGAGATAAAAACGGACTTTCCACACTGCTTTAAAAAGTTAAGAAGACGGTTAAAATCTGATTTTGTCAGCTCAGACTGCTGAAGAGCTGTGTCATTTGTTCCGACGTGGACTATCACTCTTGTGAGGACGGGAGCGATGGCATCCGGTCCTGGCGTATTTTTTTTAAATGTCAGCCGTGGTGGCACCGGGGAAACAGTGAGTGGTAGCGTTAAAGAAACGGATGTTTCTGGTTATGGAGTCACCAATTATTAGTGTGGTTGGGGAGAAAAGAGGACGAGGAGATGCCGGTTGTGGGGTTCCAGAGCAGGACTGAGCAGAATCTGCTTCAACACTGCGTGCGGACTGAGGATGGAGTGTGTGAGCTGCCGAGTGTTGTGTTGGAGTAGCAGTAACAGACCTGAGAGAACGGCTACCCGACGGTGCAGGGCAGAGACGGCCTCCGGAGCGTCTGAGCACAGCCTCCTTCAGGATCCTACGTCGGGAAGTGGATGTTTTTGACCGGGATGACGGCCGCCGATCAGGCCCAGCGGCAGACCGGCGGCCCAGTGCAGGAGATGTAGCCGGTGGAGGAGATGCAACAGTGTCGGCAGGCACTGTGCGCCGAAAGAGATCCGTATCAGGGAGACTCGAAGCCGCAGGTGAATCCGCTGGATGGACCGGATTGTCGTTAGACAAGGCTGCATAGCGGTTGGAGAGGCCGATGTGTGGAGGAGAGGCAGCCCCATCCGAGCCTCTCTTGCAGCCACGGACCACCACTTGCCCAGGTTGACTGATGCTTCGTGGGCGAAACAGGAGGAGAGCCTCGGAAGGCCAGAGGGGTCCCAAAACACGGTGTCCTGGATGTTAGCGGTTGCGCTAAGAGAAACAATCTGTTAAATCCATCCATAAAGCCAGTCAGCAGGGAATCTTTCTTTTTGAGTTCCTCTGAAAGTCGTCGGATGTCTTCCATAAGGTCAGCAATCTTCTTGTTCGCTTTCTTAAGGAGTGTGCAGTCCTCGTGGGGCAGAGTTATCTTGTCTAGCATAGTCACCGGAGGTTTGTTGCGATCAGTAGCGTTGATCGCGTTTTTATGGTCATCTAGCTTAAAATCCATGTCGGATGACTAAAATCCTTAACCCACGTAAAACTTAAGTTAAAAACTTAAGTTAAATAAAAAGGATATAAAAAATTTAACGAAAAAGAGTGGATTAAAACTGGATAAGAGTTCGGTTTAAGATGGAGTGGCTACAGGCGCCAACGCATGCGCAGAGTGCAGATTACGTCAGCGATCTTGTGACAAGATGATGCTACCTTCACTAAGGTAGAACTGCAAACAGCCGGACTGAAAACAAGATGTCAAACATGAACTGGACATAAAATACAGATCAAATAAAGCAGATAAGCAGACTAGATAACTGAATAACACAAGCAAACTCCACAACAAGACACAGAACAGGCAGGACCAGAACAACTGAGTGACACAACAGGGTTCCTTACCAGCACAGACAAAGACAAGCATGCAGAGACAGAAACCGCAGACTACAGCAGAGCAATACTAATCAAAACTACAAAACAGGCAGAGGTAACTAACTAAGACTGTGCAGACAGGCAGAATCATGAAATGATGGTTAGACTTTCAAAATAAAATTAGTTGTCAATGTTGTAAAACAGCATGTGGTCAATGTTGTGAAACTTTGCAGTTTGGTGCCAGTCTAGGCACCAAAACTACTTGGTTAGGTTAAGAGATCCCGGTTTGGCTTAAAATAACTCTGTTACATGACGTTACATAAGTTTACTTAATTAAGTTACATATTACGTAACATCACTGAAAGGAATCAACGTTGACTTTTTGTTATTTAAAGTATTCCTTTGAGCGATGAACAATCTCGCCAAAAGGCTTCTCCTAGTGTGTTGAACTATAGAGGTAAAGGGTGCCATGTTTTGGCACCAGACGCCGAAAGACATGACAAAGCGTAGCTATTTGACACTGTGAATAAGTTGGTTGTTGTTGGGTGTCAAAGTTGTGGTGACACTAAAGTATAGACGTGAGTCTGATATTATGCTGATCCACACAGAATCTTAATGCTAAAGTTTATTTTCTTCTTCAGTGGTTTAGTTTGAGAGCAAAGTTGAGCTCCACCTTTAAAATCATATATTTTATTAATATCTAATATAACCTAATATAAAATTAATTTGGGAGGCATTGGAGAGCATGCTACACGCGTGTTCAAGGACTGGCCAACTGACCAAGGTAGTAAAACTTCTGCTTACATCATAGGCTCCCGAATTAGTCTGCTCTGTTACTACTGTTGCAGCTGTAAAATGGTAGATATATTCTTTAAGACTTCACAACCCCTGCAAAATGAATTGTTTCACTATCAGAATTTGATTTATAACATTTGGAGAGTCACACAATTTTGATTATTTTAACCCCACTCAAATTAGCATAGGGCAAAACCAGTACTGATAATAATACATTTTATTTATAGGCGCCTTTCTGAACACTCAAGGTCACCTCACAAAACATAATATAACAGTACAGCAAAATTTGATAAAATTAACATCTGTAATTGCAGTGCATAAAATCATGGTACAAAACAACTGGAAACAAAGATTGAGAGACTGATCATGTGGAATATACCTGTTTAAAAATATGTGTTTTCAGGCGGGATTTTAAAATGGAAAGTGAGTCAATGTCTGGTGGAAGAGAGTTCCAAAAATGAGGGGCAGAGCGACTGAAGGCTCTGAACCCCATGGTGGTCAAACGAGCAGGAGGTACAGTGTGGTGAATAGAAGAAGATGCCCTAAAAGTACAGGTGGTGGTGTTAATGTGAAGGAGGTCAGTGAGGTACTGAGGAGCGAGGTTATGAATGGGCTTGATGGTCGGGGGCAGATTCTTGAAATCAATGCGGTATTTAACTGGAAGCCAATGAAGCTGCTGAAGGACAGGAGTAATATGATGAATAGAAGGTTTTCTGGTGATGATCCGGGCAGCAGAGTTCTGAACCAGTTGAATTTTATGTATGGATTTGGGAGGAAGAACAACAAGAAGAGAATTACAAAAATCAATGAGGGATGTGACCAGTGTGTGAACTAGAATGACTGTGTTAATGGGTGAGAGAGACTGTTGGAGGCGATTAATGTTACCTAAATGGAAGTATGCAGACCGAGTGATATTATTAATGTGAGCTTGAAATAAATGTGTGCTGTCAAGGATCACACCCAGACTCTTGACCTAAGGGGAGGAGGAAACTGTGAAGTTGTCAATGGTAAGAGAAAATCAGATTTAGTCAAAGTGGATTTGGTGCCAATGAGGAGAACCTCGGTTTTCTGTCACTGTCACTGTTAAGTTTGAGGAAGTTGCAAGAGAACCAGGATTTGATTTCCATTAGGCAATCAGAGAGGGAGGTGGATGGGAGAGACGTGGTAGGTTTGGTGGACAGTTAGAACAGTGTGTCATCCGCATAGCAGTGGAAATGGATGTTAAATTAAACAAAGATATGGGCAAGAGAAAGCAGATAGATGATGAACAGAAGGGGCCCCAGGACAGAGCCCTGGGGAACACCAGTAGCAACAGGGGATAGCTCTGATTTGAAATGTTTGAGCTGGATGAACAAAGTGCGGCCAGTAGTAGCAGTCTCTGGTATGCATGCCCTTTGCTTAGCCTGTCAAGACGTCCTGTCCTTACTAAAGCAACAAATAGAACAAAGAACACAAAATCTTTTAAATAAAGACAGGTTAGGGCATTACTATTGTATTAATTTTTTGGATATCTTTTGTTTTTAGTGAGTAAGAAGTAGTGTTGTTTTTTTCTATGAAAGATAATAAAATAAATAATCTACAGTATGTAGTGTTATTTAAAACATGGCAAAAATGTGATAAACATTTAGTGATCTTTTTTTGTAGATTAGGGTTGCAATGAACGTATGTAATTACATAAATCCCCCTTTAATGCTTATACTGACTCAATAGTTTAAGATGCTTTGATTTTATAACTTTCATTTCAAGCAGGAACATTGTGTTCTAAAGTTACATAATTTATTCTTTTTTTAGATTGAGTTCCTGCAGTTTGTCAGAGGTCAGCTGTGCTTCTCTGGCCTCAGCTCTGAAGTCCAACCCCTCCCATCTGAGAGAGCTGGACCTGAGTGACAACAACCTCCAGGATTCAGGAGTGAAGCTTCTGTCTGCTGAACTGGAGAGTCCACATTGTAGACTTGAGACTCTAAGGTCAGTTCCTGGACTGTCTCACCCCATTTACATTAGGTATCAAAATGGGATCTGTATCCATTATGCAGATATTAAATTATCGAATCTTGCCTTTGCATTTACACCTGGTATTTTTAATGTATTCTCATTATCCTCATTAAGAGTGTCTTTTTACTATTGATGAGCTTGCAAACCTGTTTCAAAAACAGTTAAAGTACACAGTCAAGCTGTGTAAAATGTAAATAGAAACAAAATGTGACGATGGCTGTAGAAGGCTGACATTATGATGATCCACAATAACACTATGACAAAGTCACTCTACTTATTTTAGGTAAAAGCTCATTGAGGACATATTAATGTTGAGCTATATACATCGATCAGCCATAACATTATGACCACCTGCCTAATATTGAATAGGACCCTTTTGCCACCAAAACAACCCTGACCCGTCGAGACATGGACTCCAGAAGACCTCTGAAGGTGTGCTGTGGTATCTGGCACTAAGACATTAGCAGCAGATCCTTTAAGTCCTATAAGTTGTATGTTTTGGCCTCCATGGATCCGTCTCATTTGTCCAGCACATCCCACAGATGCTCGATTGTTTTGAGATCTGGGGAATTTGGAGACCAAGTCAACACCTTGAACTCGTTTTTTTGCTTTGTGGCAGGATGCAGTATCCTGTACCACTGCCATCAGGAAATCACGTTTCCATGAAAGGGTGTACATGGACTGCAACTGCAGACAGAGAATCATTTTAAAAACATGCAGTCTGGAGAAGGCACCCTTTGAACCTGAAACAGCTGGAGCAGTTTGCATATTAGGATTGGGTCAAAATACCTGTTGACAAGTGCAGAGGTTTCATTGAGAGTTACAGAAATTGCTTGATTGCAGTGACTGCCTCAAAAGGTTGTGCAACAAAATATTAAGCTCAAGATACCATCATTTTTGTCCAGGCCAGTTTCATTAGTTTGTTTTTTAAAATGATTTTGTGGAACGACAATTCAAAAGCAATGTCTGATTTCATCAGTTAATTTCCTGTAAAAAAAAAAATTATTATTACTTTTGTCAGTTTCAAGTTATTTCAGGGATCATTGTGGGCTTTTCGTTCTAAAATGGAAGGGTACCAACAATTTTGTCCATGCCTGTATATATGTATTTGGCTGATGAAGAACTGAGGTGGAGGTGGTGGAATGGGAGTGGCAGGATCTGGAATTGAAAGAGAGTGTCACTAAATGCTGGACTGCTCAAGAACGGCAACTAAGGGGGTAGAAAGGGAAATAAATGCACACTCTACTCATTTTAGAGAAAAGCTCATGGATTAGGATGTTGCGCTACACATATAAAATATGAAAACATCTGATTGGATTATAAATAAATACAATACTTCATATATATAATTTATTTCTTTATTTAGATTGAGTGAATGCAGTTTGTCAGAGATCAGCTGTGCTTCTCTGGCTTTGGCTCTGAAGTCCAACCCCTCCCATTTGAGAGAGCTGGACCTGAGTGGAAACAGCCTGAAGGATTCAGATGTGAAGCTAATGTGCAATGTTCTAGAGAGTCCACACTGTAGACTGGAGACTCTGAGGTCAGACATAATTTTTTCTACTGTGTTGAGATTAATATGTTATCAAAGTTGTAGTGACACTAAATTGCAGACATAAGGCTAATCTTATACTGATCCACACTGATTATCTTAATGCTAAAGTGTATTTTTATTTACTTCTTCAGTGACTTAGTCCATTGACTGTGGTAGAGCAATGATGAGCTACACATACAAAACCTGAACACATCTGATTGGATTAGAAATGGATTTTTATCTCAATCATTTATTCTTTATTCAGATTGAATCTCTGCAGTTTGTCAGAGATCAGCTGTGTTTCTCTGGCCTCAGCTCTGAAGTCCAACCCCTCCCATCTGAGAGAGCTAGACCTGAGTGACAACAAGCTGCAGTATTTAGGAGTGAGGCTGCTGTCTGCTGGACTGGAGGGTCCACACTGTAGACTGCAGACGCTGAGGTCAGTTCACTTATTATAGTAGATCTTATAAATTCAAGTAACAATCTAATTTATGTTCATACATCAATTACATCCATAAAGTTACGTAGTGTACCTACTACTTATGATTAATAAAGTTATGAATATTCAGAAATATAAATTCATAAAAACTTGTTGGGGCACCACCTGAAATTGCAATTTGCCTAAGGCCTTCAGGAAACCTTATGGTTACTTACTTATGGTTTTAATAATTTTACAATTATTTACTAGTGATCAGTTACTTAGGAATTGCTTAATCATTTTAAATCAATTTTAATCAATCAGTCAATCTCATATCATAGTTGTGACTCCTCCATACAGTGACTTGGAGTTAAACAATACACACACACGGTTCCTGTGATTAAGGTGAAATTTATTAGCTAACTAAATTCAATTCAATTCAATTCAATTTTATTTATATAGCGCCAAATCACAACAACAGTTATCTCACAGCGCTTTTCATAAAAGAGCAGGTCTAGACCGTACTCTGTAATGATATTTACAGAAGCCCAACAGTTCCCACCAAGAGCAGCACTAGGAGACAGAGGCAAGGAAAAACTTCCTTTTAAGAGGCAGAAACCTCGAGCAGAACCATGGCTCAGGGTGGGCGGCCATCTGCCTCGACCGGTTGGGGTGAAGGAGAGAGAGAGAGAGAGAGAGAGAGAGAGAGAGAGAGAGAGCGGGAGAGGAATAGAGAGAAAAAGAGAGGGATGTAAGGAGAGAGAGAGGGGAGGGAGGCAGCCTACACAATATACACACAGAGGTACAGACAGTGAAGGTGATGTTGCTATAGACTAAATGAAAAATGGTAGAGATATTTATAGTAGTGTTAATGATAACAATCGTAATGTTAATGATTATAATAACAATAATAACAATAAGACTAGCAACAATAGTCGTTGCAGCAGAGGGTGTCGAGCAGGAACACGGGGACAGCAGGTGACCCGCAACCACAGATCCAGACTCCACAGCTCCAGAGCCAGAAAACCTGCAGGAAGTGATAGGAGGAGAGAGGAGAGGGACGAGAAAGCACAAGACTACCAGAAAGGGGAGAAGTTGTGTTAGTAACATGCAATAATGGGATGAGGTTGCATACAGAGGGAGAGAAAGTAGAGGAGAGAGGAGCTCAGTGCATCATGGAAATCCCCCGGCAGTCTAGGCCTATAGCAGCATAACTAAGGGATGGTTCAGGACTCACCTGAGCCAGCCCTAACTATAAGCTTTACCAAAGAGGAAAGTCTTAAGCCTACTCTTAAATGTGGAGATGGTGTCTGCCTCCTGAACCCAAACTGGAACCTGGTTCCACAGGAGAGGAGCTTGATAGCTGAACGCTCTGGCTCCTAGTCTACTTTTGGAGACTCTAGGAACCACAAGTAACCCTGCATTCTGGGAGCACAGTGCTCTGGTGGGGTAGTCAGGTGCTATGAGCTCTTTAAGATAAGATGGTGCCTGACCATTAAGAGCTTTGTAGGTAAGAAGAATGATTTTAAATTCTATTCTGGATTTTACTTGTATTTACTAAAGTAAATACAAGTGAGGTTAAATATATTAAAGAAATAAAACAGTGACTAAACAAACAGAATGCAATCAAATGAGAGTAATGGAGTTCAATATGAACTTAGTTGGTCTCTTGTGGGAAAGGATTTGATTCTAAGGAGCAAGAGAACCACTAAACGCAAGTTATATGATGATAACTCAGTTAAATTTGGCTAGGAGTTTCAGGCTAAAATGATTAAGGATTAAAGCTAATAGATTAAAAGCTATTGGACATCAACTGGTCACAGAATGCACGGTTCAGCCTTACTACTTTCAGTTTCTCAGCCGGTTGGTGTTCAGGCGGCCACACACTGACTGAGTTTCGTGCATTCTCGGTTATGACTGCTTGGCACACCGTTGGCTGGTCACTTTCTCTGCCAGGGGATTGCCCGGAAGTCTGTTGTTTCAGCTGGTAGGTGAAAAAACTTGCAGTGATAGGCCATTAGCCTGGCTTGGTTCGTCTGTTTGATGTCATCTGGATTACTGCTGCCGTAACAGACCCGCGTGGCTGGGTCCGAACTTCGGTGAGAGCAATATAAGTTAATTCAGCTAAAATAAAGCTTAACATGAACTTAATTGTTCCTGAATTCAACGTTGCGTGGCATAAACGATCTGAAAACTTAAACAAAACAAAAGAAAGCACAAGGAAAGGCATTAAAACAATGACATGTAATACTTATTGTCCTCTGGGAAGGGACTGTTTCCATGAGAGGACCTAAGGATTCTCAGACTATTTAATTTAACTCAATCCTTGGTTCAGGAGCTAGGAAAATCAGTTAATTAACACATGATAATATTTCTGTATCATATAATTTCTAAGAGAGTATATAAAGGTGCTGGGAACAAAGCATTCGTTACAACATAAATTAAATGCAGAAATGTTGGCGAGCTTTGATGAAGATTAAAAAGCACTGCAAAATTTACTTATTTATGGTTTCTTCTTTTAACACAGTTTTTAACAAGAACATAATAATAGAACTACTCAAATTAAAGTGGCAAACTGAGTTAAAGATTATTTAGCTTAACAGATAATGGGCTGTATCCTTCTCTGGTGTCTTTTCTCACCAGTTTCACAACTGGGTGTGAAAAGTGAGAGTGCATGTTAAGAGTCCAAATGAATGGCTCTTTGGTAGGGTAGAGAATCAAGACTGAAGAAACGGGGTTATTTTATGTCTGAGGTAATCTGAAAGAGGAATGTTGTTACCATGATTACCCTGCTATTTTGGTCTAAAGTTGATGATACACAGAGCAACTTTTAGAGCAATCGTGCAGGGCAACCTTGTCGTCAGTGGTAATGAGTCCAGATTACTACCGTAATCCCCTTCCCCCACCTCTCCGCCACCCGCCCCGCACCACCGCTATACATTTAAAACATAGTCGGACTTGCCACTAGAAACATTACCCAGCAACATTGCTCAAAAATTTGCCCCATGTATTATCAGCTTTAGAGAGTGTCTGTGTGGGGGTTCTGCTAGTTACTTAGGGTAACGCAATTCATGCTAGTCTTAAAGCAGCAGGTGTCTGCTTTCTTACTTACTCCTATTAACAACAATAAAGCAGAAAATTATATATTGGGAAAACAAAACATGTAACATTACACCATGGTTACCCTGCCCTTTTGTGTCTGTGTGTGTGGGCTGTCAGTTTAAGATGAGGTTAGTCTCTGGACAAGGTTTATTTTAATAGTCATGCTTATAGTATGTTATCTCAACTTGACCAGAGGTGGTAGGCTTTATGGCTGAAACTTCTCAAACAGCGGGAGTGGAGCAAACCTTTCACCCCCTCCTTTGGGAAAAACTCATTAATTAGGACATAGTAATGTAGAGTTGCAGGTGTACTGATGAAAATGAACTTGAATTGCTCTAGGTGTATATAAACCGATTTTCTATTGGTATAATTAAAGCTATAAGGTTGTTGTAACCTGTTATTGTCCCTTGTAGTAGCTAAGGGTGTGGGTTTGAGTGGGTGTGTGAGTCATCTGTGTATGTATATTCCAGATACACTAAACAAATTATAATCGGAACACTTTTGTTTTTGCCCCCATTCATCATGAGCCGGACTCAAAGATCTAAGACTTTCTCGATGTACACAAAGACGTATTTCTCTCAAATATTATTCACAAATCTGCAATTGGCATGCTGACTGCAGGAATGTCCACCAGAGCTGTTGTCCGTGAATTGAATGTTCATTTCTTTACCATAAGCCGTCTTCAAAGGTGTTTCAGGGAAACTCATCTGCATGCTCATCGTCCTCATCGGGGTCTCGACCTGACTGCAGTTTGTCGTCGTAACTGACTTGAGTGGGCAAATGCTCATGTTCGATGGCGCATGGCACTTCGGAGAGGTGTTCACGCATGAACCCAGTTTTCACTGTACAGAGCAGATGGCAGACAGCATGTATGGCGTTGTGTGGGTTAGCGGTTTGCTGATGTCAACCTTGCAGATCAAGTGGCCCATGGTGGCGGTCACACCAGATACTGACTGGTTTCCGGACCCCTCCCAAATGGATGGATTATCTTGGCAAAGAAGTGCTCACAAACTGATTTTGACCGATTTGTGAACAATATTTGAGGGAAAAGCTCATTGATTAGGATATGGTGATGTTGAGCTCCATGTTTAAAAGCTGAACACATCTGATAGGATTAGAAATGGGTTTTTATCTCCATCGTTAATTCTTTATTCAGATTGGAGGGCTGCAGTTTGTCAGAGATCAGCTGTGCTTCTCTGGCCTCAGCTCTGAAGTCCAACCCCTCCCATCTGAGAGAGCTGCAGCTGGGCTACAACAAGCTGCAGGATTCAGGAGCGAAGCTGCTGTGTGGTTTTCTGGAGAGTCCACACTGCAGACTGGAGACTCTGAGGTCAGTTCACTGACTCTTTGTTACTATTGTAGATCTGATATGTTTAATTGACAAGTGAACCTAATTTGTGTTCATACATAGCTTCCATCCATAAAGTTGTAAATGTCCTGTTGTTCATAGTTTCATGTTTCTTTTTCTAAATTTAGTCTGCAGTCACAAAGACTTGTGTTTCTTAAAGAAACTGTAAAAAATGTTTGCTGTTAGTTGTTAAAGTAAATAACTGTTTCTAATTTTTGATAAATGGTCACAACTGTATACAGAAGATTCTCTGAACTAATATTTGTTTTAAACGGTTTACTTGTTGAAGTAGAAATATTTCTTTGTTTGTGTTGGTTTCAATGTGTTTTCAAAAACAACATCTGATCATTGATATTGATCCTTCAGAACACACACACACACACACACACACACACACACACACTATTAGGGAACCTCCGGGTCTGACAGGTGAAGCCAATGCTGAAGTGTCCTTAAACCTGCAATCTTGGTAATAGCCAGCTCGGGGCGACCCCACTATAGGGGTGGGTAAGATTTATTACAGGCAGGATCACTATTCATGACCTAATGTCCCTTGATTTTCATATTGGTTTTTAAGTCTATTTTGCAAGTTACTGGGTTATTCGGGTGTCCTGTGTCCAATGTAACAATCACTCCCTCTTTTAAAGATTTTAATATACATTTTAATTGGGTTTTCCCATGAATGAATGTGCTTCTGCATATTTAAAAACACAAAGACAGGGATAGTTGTAAATATTGCTTGGCGTTTGCAGTAGCCAATAGCGCTGAATGTGAAATACATCCCCCCTAACCCCGTCATGCAGACTCCGTGCAGACTGGTTCCAGCTCTCAGCGAGTGAACACGGCAGCTAAGTCTCCTTTAAAGGATCAGTTATATTGATCCTTTAAAGGATATAATTTATCATTGATAATTGATCCTCTAAAGGTGGAAGCAATAGGGTCCTTTAAATGATCGATATAATATCTGTTTACATGAATGCTGAACTCCACATCTAAAACCTGAATACATCTGATAGGATTTTTTTTTTTTTTGCATTTAGATTGAGTAGCTGCAGTTTGTCAGAGATCAGCTGTGCTTCTCTGGCCTCAGCTCTTAAGTGCAACCCTTCCCAACTGAAAGAGCTGGAGCTGACTGACAACAATTTGCAGGATTCAGGAGTGAAGCTGCTGTATGATGGACTGAAAAGTCCACATTGTAGACTGGAGACTCTGAGGTCAGTTCACTGACTCTGTTACTTTTGTGGATTTTAGATGTTTAACTAACAATTGAACCTAATTTAGAGTTTCCCACAGCATTTTAAGAGACTATGGTGGGTGGGCCCCGGACCCACTCGGGGAGTCTGGGGGCATGCCCCACATTAGAAAATTGTGAAAATTTTAAAGTAAAATGCATTAATTTGGTGCAAAATGAAGAGGCTAATTATGAAAAACTTTGCTCTCAATGGTGTGCTCTAGTAAACTATTTGATCATAAACCCACCGTATAGCTATACATGGTGATGAAACAGCAATAAAAGTCAACAAATTTATTTAATATTTTTCCAGCCACCCTAGCTCAAAGAATAGAAAATAGAATAAGTAATTTCCCTAACATTTTATTGTTTTATTTTTTACTTTTAATGCACACATGCAGGGCTTGACATTAACATTTTTGCTCTCTAGCCAGTGTGGCTAGTGGTTTTCAAAGCTACTAGCCACGCAGCATTTTCACTAGCCACATTTTTGCTGTTGGAAAATTATGTGTTATATGATTAGTTGACAATAGTATGCTTAAATTGACATGCTAAAATGTACTAATATTATTGTTAGCTCTGATAAGGTATGTAAAGCTCATTTTTTTAAAAACATGTATGCTATTAAGATAAACGCATAACAAAGTAGCTTCTTATTGTACATACTAAAAGTGCTGCATGGGTGTAAAAGATTAATTGAAAAGGTAAAAACTAAACTGAAAATTCAACACTATTTATTTTTTTACAGCAGTAAGTACTCTAACACAGAGTAGAACAATTATCTGCATTAGAAACACAGCTATTACCTATTTTGTCTAAGAAGAAAATCCACAATTAAGGCAACAGGATTAAAATTTTATGTAGGTCTGTATAATTTTTGTGCACTTTCGATTGTTTGTTTTGCCTCTGCATTTCCTCAGAGCACTGCCTGGATTTATGTTTATCATCATGAAGTTCTGGTCACTCTGAGTAACTGCGTCCACCTGAAAAAAGTATACAGGTCTTTATTTTTCAGATTATTCCCATACAAACTCATCTTCTGCTTTCATACATAGCATGAGTACTTTTATTAAAACATAGAATTAATTCTGGAAAGGTAGTTGTGATATGATGATATGTGAAGAGTCCAGCCCTACTAGTAGTCTATATTTCTTTCTTTTTTAAATACCATGTCCCTTAATCTTTAAGACAAGTAATTTAAGTAATTTTACAGCATTTACCGGGCCTTTTCTCTGTCTCAGCTCTGCCTTTTCCCTTTCTCTCGTTCTCCTGTGCATTTTTTCCCACACTGATCAGCCACGCACACTCATGCTCTGACTGAACGTTGTGTTGATGTGTGTGTGCGTGCGACCAGTCGCGTGTGATGACAGAGATCATACAATCAGGTTAAAAGCAGGTAGGAGGCTGATGGTCCACAGGACTAAGGGACTGTGGCTGCCCTGCGACAGATTCAACTTTTATATTCTCATTTGACTAAAGTCTGGGGCCCCATCCTCACTACTACGTTTTAGTTTACAAAAGGAGAATTATAACGAATACAATCTCTGTCCACACCAGCATTTTAGCTGCATATCAGAGTTGATCTCTGTCTACATTAAAACAACTGAAAACACACATCTATTGGCCGTTCAGGCACACTGGGTATGTGTGTTCCGTTATAAACATGAAGCAGATGTTCCATTCCATTAGTAAAAACAGAAAGATTTGGAGAAAGAATGAAGAACTGTAGACAAAGAATCAGACCAGATTTTTTTTAGCATGCACCAATAACGAGCTGGGACTGTTACTGAATGTAACACGCGACTGTGGCAGCGGGAAACAGACTGGGAGTTGCAAAGTAAAAGGCGACATGCACAGTAGCCTATAAGTGTAGGCAGATAGGCTTTAGCGTTATTTGCATGGTACAGAATATTTTTATAAAAATACTAACTCAAAAACTCAGTAGCTCAGTCAGTAGCATTACATGTGTTATGGGTGTGTGTGGTAGAAGTCTGAACCCTAAAGCCAAGAACCGATGCTATTAAGGGGAGTTTATTGAAACAGTCAGGAGAATGTGGGAGTGGAGAGTGATCCGACTCCAGAGTGGGGAGTCTGGGCAAGACGTTGAGTAGAGGCGGTGAAGGTGAGGCAGGTTGGCAGGCAGGTGACTGGCAGGCGGGTTCTGGAAAAGTGGAGGAGAACAAACAAGCGTTAGGGATAGCGAGGGAAAATTCAACGAGAAAAAACTAACTCACTACTGGAGAAGTCCAGGGTGTGTACCACAGGAGATACGCAGACAATCTGGCCAATACTCGCGTGCTGGACCGGGGTACATAAGCTGATTGCAAACGAGGTGCAGGTGTGTGAGGGTAGAGAGCCAGAGCCAGGAAGACTACGCCCACCTGCAGACAGACAGACTCACAGGTGAAACGGGCAAACAGAGACAATAGGAAGGGAAAACAACAGAGAACACAAGGTAAACAGAGGAGGGTAACCGCTGGGCATAACATGACTTATAAGACCCAATCACAGAGCCGAGCATTTGCGATATTGTTTCTATAGTCCTCTGTTTTTACCCCCCAGAGTTTCAAAACGCAAATTGGGTTGTAGAGTTTCCAAACTTTGTCGTTTTAGGTGTTTTCATCATTGTAGTCTGGACGGGAGGTGCAAATGTAGCAAAGTTCTCTGTTTTAATCTGAAAACGCAGTAGTGTGGATGGGGCCTGGATGTCATATTTAGAGTGCGCACCATACCGTAGTTACCTAAAAAGAAAAGTGGTTGTCTCGAGTCAGATGCCAAAGTGTGTGAGCGTATAAGCTTACAGCACTGTGGAGCAGCGCCCGCAAAGCACAACGTTAGAGGTCTGTAATATTATCATGAGATGTGTAAAAGTATTTTTGGTTCATTTTGAGACTATGGTGAAACAAATTAGATTATGGCGTGCCGCCATGGTCTGGTAAATTAATGGGAAACACTGCTAATTTATGTTCATACATAACTTCCATACATAAAGTTGTACTTCCTATTTCCTTTTGTTCATATTTTCATGTTTCTTGTTTTAAATTTAGTCTGCAGTCACAAAGACTTGTGTTTCTTAAAGAAACTTCAGAAAATGTCCGCTGTTAGTCGTTAAAGTAAATGAATGTTTATAATTTTTAGTAAAGCTCCTTTATGGTAAATTATAAAATAAATTGACTGAATTGAAATGACTTGTGTTCTTAGCATTAAATCCGAAAGATCTTATAATGCAAGACAATCTGCAAGAGTTTGATGCCATCTCCTTTTAACTTAAGATTTTCAACACTGGCAGCTTTGGAGGAGGCTCCAGAATGTTGCTCCAGAATCAGTCCTTCAAAACAGCTACTACACACTCCCCACCAGACAGATTCACGAGCAAAGAACAAGGCACTACCTTACAAGCACATGACTTACCAGCAGCTTAAGCTGACCATGGTCTGCACCAGGAATGGAGGTGGCTGATGGACCTGCAGTAAAATAATGAATGAATTAAATTTTGACTTCATTTTTAAAATGCAGAAGGTTATCATTGTAACATTCTTTTATACTCACCAACAGAAGAAACTGTTTACTTACACCTGTGATGATCTTCCAACCATATTCTTTAAAGTGCTCCTAGAAAGGAGATATGAAGAGTAGCTTTAATGTTGGCCCTTCAGAAAATGGAGCCTGTGAGCTCATCTCTTCTTCAAGCCTCTTGTTTTGTCTTTCTTCATATCCTGACATATATTTATGTCTCCTCAGACATCAGACCCTCTGACTGACCGATCATAACAAGGTCAGTCGTCACAGGGAGATCCAAGCAAGCTCAACCATCAGGGTAGCTGATTTTACATAATAAATAACTAACTAAATTAATGATGTGTAATATAGAGGTGTATTTCATTTTATTAAAAACATTTTATGTTCCTTATTTCAGTGAAATATTTCTAACACTAGCTGGCAGTGACTGTATGGGGCCCTCTGCTGGCCACGGGGCCCTATGCCACGCAAAGGCCGCTTATTGGCTCGGCCGGTTCTGTGCGTATCCCTCCCCAGTTCCACCCTCTCATTCAAACGTGGTCCCTTCTGGTTCAAAGAAACCAAGATGCCAAACTCGAGGCTTCAAAATGATAGTCCACAAACCAATGGGTGATGTCACAGTGGCTACATCCACTTCTTTTATACGATCTATAACAGAAACTGAGGATAGGTGTATGAATGTTGTGCTGACATTTGGATGATGTCTGTAGGAGGCTGACATTAAGATGATCCACAGTAACACAATGACAAACTCCCTCTAATCATTTTAGGGAAAAGCTCATTGATTAGGACATAGTAATGTTGAGCTCCATGTTTAAAAGCTGAACACATCTGATTGGATTAGAAATAGATTTTTATCTCCATCTTTTATTCTTTATTCAGATTAAGGAGCTGTAGTTTGTCAGAGATCAGCTGTGCTTCTCTGGCCTCAGCTATGAAGTCCAACCCCTCCCATCTGAGAGAGCTGGAGCTGAGCTACAATGAGCTGCAGGATTCAGGAGTGAAGCTGCTGTCTGCTGGACTGGAGAGTCCACACTGTAGACTGGAGACTCTGAGGTCAGTTCACTGACATTCTGTTGCTATTGTTGATCTTATATATTTAATTAACAATCAAACCTAATTTATATCGATACATAACTTACAAACCTGTTTCAAACTAGTTGAGATGCTCTGTAAAATGTACATAAAAACAAAATGTAATGATGTGCAAAACATTAAAGCTCCTTATTTAATTGAAAAGCACAAAGATAACTGTCAAATGTGGAATGTTATTGTGTTTTTGTTATCAGCTGCATCCCCTCTTCTTTTGCCAACACTTCATAACTAAGGAGACTTATTGCTGTAATCTTGAAAGTTAAATGTTTTCCCATTCTTGCTTGATGCAGGATTCCTGCTGTTCATCAGTTCAGGGACTCCTTTGTCGTATTTTACTTTTCATAATGTGTTAAACATTTTCAATGGGTGACAAATCAGGACTGCAGGCAGGCCAGCTGAGCACCCAGACTTTTTTACTACAGATTACTACAGATACTACAAATTTTTACTCGTCAGACCAACAGACAGTTTTCCACTTAAGACAGTAGTCATTCTGGATCTGGTTAATATAAGTTTTATTCGTTTTATATTAGAGCTTCAACTTGCATTTGTGGATGAGAGACGAACTGTCTTCACAGACGATTGTTTCAGGAAGTGTTCCTCAGCCCATGCGGTGATACCCTCTACAGAAGTGTGTCAGTTGTTTATGAAATGCTGTAAGAGGGCCCAAAGATCACGGCCATCCAATACTGGTATTTGGCCTTGTCCCGTGCATACAGAGATTTTCTCTGATTTTCTGAATCTTTTAATAATGTGATGTACTGTGGACAATGAAATCCCCACATTCTTTGCAATTTTACTTTGAGAAACATTATTCTTAAATTTGTCAGCACAGTTTTTCACAGTGGTAAACCTTTCCTCATTTTTACGTCAGAAACAGCCAGTTTACCTAATTGATTGTAAGATGTTTTCTTTTACCATTTGAAAACCTTGGCATTCTTTTGCCACTGTCCCAACTTTTTTGAAACGTGTTGCTGGTATCAAATTCAAAATGGACACATAATTTCAACATTTGATAAGTTGTGTTTGTGCTATTTTATATTTTATTATTTTATTTTATATTTCTTCCCATCATCACATTTAGTTTTAATTTACATTTTACACAGTGTGCCAACTTTTGGAAATGGGGTTGTACATCCATGAAAATATAAATTTCCTGTTGCTCATATTTTTGTTTCTTGTACTAAATTTAGTGAAAGTGTAGAAAATTTCTGCTGTCAGTCGTTAAAGTAAATGAATGTTTCTAAATGGTCACATCTGTATACAGAAGATCCTCTGAACTAATATTTGTTTTAAAGTTTAGTAGAAATATTTCTTTTCTCTCTGTTTAATTCAATGTTTTTTCAAAAATATTGTCTGATCATTGATATTGATCCTTTAGACACACACACACACACACACACACACACAGATCAAACCATATTTCCAAATGCTGTTTAAAGGATCAATAAAGTTTTTCTCCTCTAGTTCCAGACTGGCCTGAGATCAGCAGCATGTTATTGATCTTTACTGACACGGATAAGTGTGTGAATGTTGTGCTGACATTTGGATGATGTCTGTAGAAGGCTGACATTATGATGATCCACAATAATACAATGACAAGTCCCTCTACTCATTTTAGGTAAAGGTCATTGATTAGGACATAGTAATGTTGAGCTCCTAAACACATCTGATTAGATAAGAAATAGATTTTTATTAAACACTGAATGATTTGAAGCAGGAACATTGTCTTCTAAAGTTACATCATTTATTCTTTATTCAGATTGAGTCTCTGCAGGTTGTCAGATATCAGCTGTACTTCTCTGGCCTCAGCTCTTAAGTCCAAACCCTCCCATCTGAGAGAGCTGGACCTGAGTAACAACAACAAGCTGCAGGATTCAGGAGTGAAGTTGCTGTCTGATGTTCTGGAGAGTCCACACTGTAAACTGGAGACTCTGAGGTCAGACACCATTTTTTCCATCTGTGTTGAGATTAATATGATGTGAAAGTTGTGGTGACACTAAACTGCAGATATAAGGCTAATACACTGATCCACACTGAGGATCTTAATGCTAATGTCTATTTTCTTCTTCAGTGGTTTAGTCCATTGTATGTGGCAGAGCAATGCTGAGCTCCACATTTAAAATCTTAATATAATGAGAATAATGTCCAATGGATAATTCACTCTGAACTGCTCAGACTCCTGATTTTCAGTTTATATTCCACACCACGTTTTTAAATAAATGATAATTAAAATACATAAATACAATGAATAAATTCTCTATTTCAACTATCAGAAAATAACAAATATATCCAGTATTTGCCAACATTGTTATGAAGCTATATTATGCTTATACTGACTGAATAGTTCAAACTGAAGAAGCTTTGATTTTATGACTCCACTATTCCTATAAGAAAAATTGTAGAAAAAGTGCTTTTAGTAATCTTTTGCATTGTAAATAAGATTTTGGGAGTATCATGCAAGTTTTTTTTTCTGTTGTTCAGATTGGTTACTTTTGTGGAGTTTGTTTTGGTGGATGTTGAAGGGAGCTGCATTTGCCCCCAATTTGTATAGTTGCAAACCTGTTTTGAGTTGTAACATCAATGTGTTTTTGGGTCTGTGACTTGGTGAGTTGGCCAGCTAGCTTTGGTAACATACATTAAGTCCTACAGGTCATGCTTTGTTTGGTTAGTATGAGTTTTGTTGTAGCTTTGTTTCCTTGTGTTGTGTGTCTTGGATGACTTGGTTGGCTTGTAAGCCTTTGTTTTGTTTCTTTGAAACTTTGTGTGCTACTTTGGTTTAGTGCTTACATTCCAGTTTTGTGTGCATTTGGTTGCAGGAATTTTGGTTTGTTATGTCTAGCAGAAGGCCAACTTGTTAATTTGAGATGAGCTTTGCGTGCTCATTTTGATGTGATCTTTCGGTCAGGGCTTTCACCTCAACTTCTGATTTGTCAACACACCTCACTTTTCTGTATTCCTACAAAACCATCTTCAATTTTCACAAGCACTGACTTCGTTTATTTTACCTCTCCGGGAACCATCGCCTTATCGTGGTGGAGAGGTTTGAGTGCCCCGGTAAGCCTGGAGGCTGAGTTGTCTGGAGCCTATTGCTCCTGGTAGGGTCTCCCAAGGCAAAGTGGTTCCAGTTAAGGGTCCAGACTGAGAATGGTTCACAAAGATGGCTGATGAAAAAAGGTGGAAGAGGAGGAGAGACCCTGCCCGGACGAAGCCCAGGGCCCCTGTCTGGAGCCAGGCCCAGAGGGAAGGCTTGTCGGCCAGGACCTGGTGGCCGGGTTTGCCACGGAGCCCGAAAAAGCAACGTGGCACACCCCTCTCCATCCTTTGGACACACCATCCATCGGAAGATCCGCAGGGGTCTGGTGCGCTGCCACATTGGTGGCAGTGAAGGTCAGGGGCCTCGACGGACCAGACCCGGGCGGAACTCTGACTATTGTTTGTGCATATGCACCAAACAGCAGTTTAGAGTACTCTGCCTTCTTGGAGATCCTGGATGGAGTTCTGTATGGGGCTCCAGCAGCGGACTCCATAGTTCTACTGGTAGACTTAAATGTGCATGTAGTTAATGATGAATACCTGGAAAGGTGTGATCGGGAGGAACAGCCCCCCTGATCTGTACCCTAGTGGGTGTTTGTTGTTCTGTGCTAGTCATGGATTGTCTATAATGAACACCATGTTCGAACATAAGGATGCTCATAAGTGTAGGTGGTACCAGAGCACCCTAGGTCGATTTTGGAAGCGTTTTATCTGATTTGAGGCTGCATGTTTTGAACACTCTGGTGAAGAGAGGGGCGGAGCTGTCAACTGATCACCATCTGGTGGTGAGTTGGGTCAGGGGGTGCGGGAAGACTCTTGACAGAACCGGTAAGCCCAAACGGGCAGCACGGGTGAACTGGGAATGTCTGGAGGAGGCCCCTGTCCGTGAGATATTCAACTCAAACCTCCGGCGGAGCTTTTATGGCATCCCTGTGGAGGTTGGGGACATTAAACATGAGTGGGCAATGTTCAAAGCCTCTACTGCTGAAGCCGCAGCGGGAAGCTGTTGTCTCAAGGTCTTAGGTGCTTCAAGGGGCTGCAGACTGGTGTGGTGGTTCCCCTGTTCAAAAGGGGGGACCAGAGAGTGTGTCCTAATTACAGGGGTATCACACTTCTCAGCCTCCCCAGTAAAGTCTACTCCAGGGTGCTGGAACAGAGGGTTCGGCCGATAGTCGAACCTCAGATCGAAGAGAAACAATGCGGTTTTCGTCCCAGTCGTGGAACAACTGACCAGCTCTTTACTCTCACAAGGTTCCTGGAGTGGGCTTGAGAGTATGCCCATCCAGCCTATATGTGCTTGTAGATCTGGAGAAGGCGTATGACCAGGTCCCCCGGGAGATACTGTGGGAGGTGCTGCGGGAGAGTGGAGTGAGGGGGACCCTTCTCAGGGCTATCCAATCCCTGTACATACAAAGCGAGAGCTGTGTCCAAGGACTCGGTGGCGAGTCGGACTCTTTCCAGGGGAGGGTTGGCCTTTCGCCAGGGCTGTGCTTTGTCACCAATCCTGTTTGTGATATTCATGGACAGGATATCGAGGCGTAGTCGTGGCGAGCAGGGGCTGCGGTTCGGTGGGCTTGGCATCTCGTAACTGCTTTCTGTGGCCATGGTTCTCAGCAGGAAACCGGTGGAGTGCCAACTCCAGGTAGGGAATGAGTCCTTACCCCAAGTGAAGGAGTTCAAGTACCTCGGGGTCTTGTTCACGAGTGAGGGGAGATTGGAGCAGGAGCTCGCCCGGAGAATCGTAGCAGCAGGGGTGGTATTGCACTCGCTTTACCGCACCGTTGTGACGAAAAGAGAGCTGAGCCGTAAGGCAAAGCTCGCGATCTACCGGTCAATTTCCGTCCCTACCCGCACCTATGGTCATGAAGGCTGGGTCATGACAAAAAGAATGAGATTGCAGGTACAAGCGGCCGAAATTGGTTTCCTTAGGCGGGTGGCTGGTGTCTCCCTTAGAGATAGGGTGAGAAGCTCGGCCATCCACGAGGAGTTCAGGAGAGTTGAGCCGCTGCTCCTTTGCGTTGAAAGGAGCCAGTTGAGGTGCTTTGGGCTTCTGTTAAGGATGCCTCCTGGACGCCTCCCTAGGGAGGTGTTCCAGGCATGTCCAGCTGGGAGGAGGCCTCGGGGAAGACCCAGGACTAGGTGGAGAGGCCTCGGGATCCCCCAGTCAGAGCTGGTTAATGTGGCTCGGGAAAAAGGTCCCCTGCTGGACCTGCTGCCCCCGCAACCCGCCCCCGGATAAGCGGATGAAGATGGATGGATGGATGGATGTTTATTTTAGTTAAATAAATTATTTGTTTATTGTTATTATTTGTTTTAACTAAGTACCTTGTGTGGACTCCCTCTTTGTCACATTCTCTGAGCCAGTTTGTAACAAAATATTGTAGATGTCTTTTGTTCACATTTCCCCAAAGTTCATCCTGACATATTTCGCATCTTTGGGATCTTGAGTGGTTTCTGTGGGTTTTTGTATTTGGCTGAACAACATGAGTTTGTACAGATGGAGCCACTGGTGGAGCTGCAGAGTTCAAGAGGTGAAGTCACTACATCTTTATTAAAGTAGCAGCACGTTGTCATTAATATTAATGAGAGCTCTTTTTACTTTTTGTATTTTACAGTTTGAACTTGCATCCTGTTGGGTTCAGGTGTTTGAAGTTTCCATTTTCTAAACTACTACATTCTAAACCTTCTTCAGCTCTAAACAGATTATTAAACACGGAATGATTTCAAGCAGAATCATTGTCTTCTAATGTTACATCATTTATTCAGATTGTTGGGCTGCAGTTTGTCAGAGATCAGCTGTGCTTCTCTGGCCTCAGCTCTGAAGTCCAACCCCTCCATCTGAGAGAGCTGGAGCTGAGTCACAACGAACTGCAGGATTCAGGAGTGAAGCTGCTGTCTGCTGGACTGGAGAGTCCAAACTGTAGACTAGAGATTCTGAGGTCAGTTCACTGACTCCTTTACTATTGTAGATCTGATATGTTAAATTAACAATTGAACCTCATTTCTGTTCATACATAACTTCCATCCATAAAGTTGTAAAGGTCCTTTTGTTCATATTTTCATGTTTCTTGTATTAAATTTAGTCTGCAGTCACATCAAACTTATGTAGGGGTTTTATTATGTAGCCCCTATATTGATAATATGTAGTTTTTCCAATAAAATCACTAATTAATACATATTTTCTCCGGTTTTGTCAATGGGCTCAAACCTTACTTAAAAATGAAGCACACGCCTGTTTTCTCTGTTGCTTGCATCAGCTACTATTCTGCTATTAATGTGAGGACACCGGATGGAGGCAGCTCTGTTCACACAATCCCGAGCCTCTCTCAGACTACAGGGACAACACGGCAGCTAACGACTAACACCACAAAACAACCGGCTCCCAGCAAAACACAAACTCCAACATAAACTCCATGTCAAACAACAATTAAGATTTATGTGATGAAACCCATCAGACCAATGAGATTCAGATGATGTCGGGTGAAAACAGTGAACATTAGAAAGGTAGGAATCAACTAGTCACATTAGTTCGCCGGCTAACACAGAGCATTTGCTAACGTCATTTGGTACAAAGTTATATCGCTCTACACATTACTTCACCAACTAATGCGACCCATGTCACTATCCTGTGTACCACCAGTATTATGTCAAAGTGATTGATTTAGCCTGCAAGAAATGATGGAACAGTAAAAAGCAAATGTGGAGCGATTTGGTTACTAGCCTATATGTAAGGCAGGGCAGGACAGCCAGCTAATGCTACATTAGCTCGGACCTGCCGCTGTTTGCATTGTGACGTTCAAATTAGATTTATTGTCCTTTACTCAGGGACACATCTTCTCCATCTCTCAATCGTTGTAATGTGACCCACATACAATCCTGCAACAAAACGGCAACAACAACACAGAGGAAGAGTCATCCACTAACATTACAGTAAAGTTACTTACGTCTGTTATAAAGTGTGACAACAATCTCATTTATAATATTCAGTCTAGCTCACTGATGTTTCATTATCATCCAATACATTTAACTGTGCTCACATTGCTGAGCCTCCGGTGAAAGAAACACAAATAGTAAAGTTAGATACTGAAAAGCAGACAGGCGAGCTAACGCTGATGTAGCACATCGGCTAAATGCAGTGACTGTACTGTTATCATGTAACGAGCATGGATTGGGTCAACCTGCAGCTGATAAAAATATTGTATACTATAACATTGCAGTGGGAGTTTACCTGAGTTTCCAGCATGTTGTGTGAAGCTTTCTCCCTGTCTGTCTATAGCCGCTGTCAATATGCTTGCTGCGCTAAATGAAAGGTATGGAGCTGGTTTTGAGCTGCCTCTGTGTTGTAAATTCCCTATTATTACTGTGTTTGTGGTGCAGGATTTGTTCAGTGCTGAATTTAGTTTACATCAGGCACCTCGTTGGGCAGCTAAGGGGTCCTTATTATATTGAGCCGTTCATTTTACGTTGATGCCTGTCTGCGTTTGTGATGAAGATGGGTGGAAATGATCTGCTAATGCTTTGATATGCAAATGAAGTGGTGGATTTCGCTAATATAACATAACATTACTAACGTAGCAGTGTTTATTTGACGTTTGACGTGCCAACTGACTTGGTAATAAGCTAAAGCTAAGTTCGAATTAACATGTGCTCATTAAGCTAGTATTCTCACTTATATTGTGTTTTGTTTATTGCAGATACCAGTACAGAACCAATGTAAAATCAGACCAATGTAAAGTCTCAGGCAGAACAGACAACAGAGATAAAATCTAACTAATCAAACTGTAAACAGCAAACCAGAAACACAGAGCTGTATTTAATTTGGAGTTGTGTTTCATCAGTAAAGTCAAGTTCACTGTCCTACTGTGTCCCGCCTCGCTCTCTAATCGGAGTGTCTGTGTGGATGAGGTGTTCCAGCGAATCCCCCTAAACCAACATACAGTCCTAGCTCTCCGTAACACTCTGAGCCAGGAACGTTGAAGTAACAGAGCCTGAACATGTCTGGAGAAAAGCCACCGCCCTCATACCGGTGTTTCCAAAAACTCCATAATGCCTTTTAAAGAATCTGTAGAAAATGTCCGTTGTTAGTTGTTGTAGGATCTCCCTCGGAAAAGAGATTTCAATCTCAGGGGACTTACTGGTTAAATGAAGGTTAAATAAATAAAAAAGTAAATGTTTTGGTAAATGGTCACATCTGTATACAGAATTCCTCTGAACTACTAATTGTTTTAAACTCATCAAGTTTACTTGCTTTCTGTTTATTTAAGTGTTAATTCCAGACTGACTTGAGATCAGCAGCATGTTATTGATCTGTGTTGACATGAATAGGTATATGAATGTTGTGCTGACATTTGGATGATCCACAATAACACAATGACAAAGTCCCTCTACTCATTTTAGGGAAAAGCTCATTTATTAGGACATAGTAATGTTGAGCTCCACATTTAAAACCTGAACACATCTGATTGGATCACCGACATGCACAGATATTTTGGGGAGTTTTATTAATTCCCTCACACTCACAGAGGGCTGT